CTATAGCAGTATATTAACGTAGACCACACCGCCTCCACCATCAACTAACAAGGTACAACCTTACATAAACTCTAATTAATCTCATCAACTAACATCACACAACCTTATATTACACCAACTCAGATCACATCGTCTCCACCATCAACTAACAGGGTAAAACCTTACATAACGTCAACTCAGATAACAAAGTCTACACCATCAACTAACATTATAAACCATCAACTAACATTATTAACCTTACATCGCATCAACTCAGATCACGTCGTCTCTCCCATCAACTAACAAGGTGCGACCTTATAACGTTAACTCAAATAACACAGTCCAGGCCATCAAATCACATCAACTCAGATCACACCGTCTGCACCATCAACTAACATACAACCTCAACACAGATCACACTGTTTCCACAATCAACAAGATCATAAACCGTACATCACATAAACACGGATCATACAGTACCCACCAGCAACTAGCAATCTACTACCTACATTACATCAAGTCTGATCTCCGCCACCCACTAAAAGATTTACATCTCCTCTGATCACACCATCTTTTCCCCATTTAAAAGATACAACGTAGCAGCAAATCGTCGTGGTGAAATATACATTTAATGAAGGAGCAAATTTTTAGTCACATTGAATGTTGTTTAGATTCCTTCAATGTGATAAATGTTATCATTAATCAAGTGTTAGAAGAAACTTTTATACCCGATAATTCATAATGCTCTTTAATGTCCTTTGTTCTGTGGGCCATTAAGAGATTCTGTTCCTATGACGTTTCATTGATTCATGATTATCAAGACAATGTAGCAATGCAAGACATATGGACTGAATTCAGTATTCTAAGGTTTAGTAAAACTGTACTACGTTCGAATAAGACAGTGGTGTTGTCGTGCACAAAACTTGGTATGGTAACTAAAACTCCCTATTCCACATCCCCGATAACCCCCCCCCCCTTTGAGAAATTCAAGGAACTGATATACTTTATTTATTTCATTTGCATTTCTCATCTACAGACAGTCTATTCCCATTTTTTCGAATTAACCTACTATACGGTCAAAGCTTCATAATCAAAACGTAAAACAGATGATAATATGAATTCCCAAAGTGGTACTAATTCAATTGCTATACGAGATAAAAGGAACCTGTCATACGGTTCGCATTCTCAGACTTTCTGATGACATTCTTCCAACCAATTCAAATAATTCTCATTTAAAAATTTGGCATATCACGCTCACATGGGAACAAAACTCAATGCAATAACATTTCTTTAAATTAATGCATGAATCTCGTTGCACACGTCATATTATAAAAGTCTTGCCGTATATATGATCAGTTAGAAGTTTTTCCTTATAAGAAATATCATGGGAATTAAACCAGTAACATTTCACAATATATTGATCATTAATAAAAGCTATACATTTATTTATCTGATATTCAAATCAAAAGGATAGACACTACTTATAGACACATTTCTTAAATACTATTTAACTTCATAGTTTAAAATCAACACCAATAATGCATCGCGAATTCAACCATTATAGTTTTTGGCTCAATGTCTCATTGTTAAAAACTGGACATTTCGATCAATGATGGGGTGTGCGCCTTGTCAGGGATATGGATGCTGCACCTAGAGTAAAATAATGCAACATGTTTTATATACAAAAATATACACTTACCGACTGGTACATGATTTATTTTCCCGGTTTCTACATAACAAACACAAATTAGAGACAAACAGTGTAATATTATACTAGTGAAATCCATGTTTTTAGTCTATTTGATCACTGGAACCAATCAATTGTCAATCACACGTGTTGACTACAGCTGAACTTGCCAACTACTATTACCATAACAAGACAATCTTTCTAGCGCATGCGTTCTTCTTCAAGCTGTGATGTCATATGTGTAATATGTAATTAGAATTTAGTGGTGGAACTTCTTATACGAACATTATACAAATCATTTCGACACTCACCAACGTTTCTCTATCTCCTATAGTTATTTAAACCTGTGTTCTACACGGCATGATATCGCTATTGTGACTTGGTTATTTAAACCATCGATCTATACGCAGTTGTGGTAAGTGACAGTGCTAAGGTCGCGGTTATTGAGACGGGAAGTTTTAACTCTAAAAACACAACCATCGCTCAATATCCTTATCATATTTTCATTGCAGTTTTCGGTCAATTTCTGGCCAATTAGTTTATTGTATAAGGCAGAGATTTCCTCTAGGATTTGTCCATATAATTAAATCGGATGTTCGTAAAATAATGAGGGATATAATTTAATTATCAAACTTCATTAGCTAGTTAGAAATATCTTTAAAATTGGCGATTTACCGAGAACTTGGTATCTTAGGAGAAATTGACCATTTGAGGGCAGACATTTTATCACTAGCCTACTATCTTCGTGATACATGTCGTAAATATTCGCTTTATGGCTGGTATCCCAATTCTTTTCCACGAAATCATACAAAATATTGCCTACAGCGCTGATTACAAATAACCAGAAATAATCGGGATTGACTACAGCTAAGCAACAAGTCAAAAGCACCTCCTGTATTTCCTTGAACTGGCGGGCAAATCCAACCTTTACTAACAAACACCTTTTATGCTTTGGACTCAAGTTAAGTAATAAAGTGCCCCTGGTATCAAATAAAGTCGTAAATATTAATTATAGTTCGTGTCATTAGATGTAACCCAGACAACCTAGCTAATCAAATGGTGCTAAAAGAGAAACGTGGTCACGCCAAATCTTATAATTAAAGTCGGACGTGTTTCTAATGAACAGCAATATATCGAAACCTATTTCTGAATTAAAAACACATTTCAATGTAATTTTACAATTCTACAGAGAATGTGATACCAAACATCAAAATAAATGTTCAAATCTTTCCAGAACAAACAATTTTAAGTAAAGATTAATGCTAAAAATGTATGTCGTTTGGGCATAACTTTTTGTAAGTTGCATCTTATCAACTTTATGCTTGAATAAGATGAGAAATAATGCCTGTCCAACAATCCTAATTCAGAGAAAGAGAGAGAGAGAGAGAGAGAGAGAAGAGAGAGAGAGCGGGTTTAACGTCCACTCGACACAAACTAGGTCATTTCGGGACCAACATAGGGTGCAATTTTATTTCAATAATTCGCTTGCGCGTAGGGGTCTTTAGCACTGGAAGGAAAACGGAGGACCGGGAGAAAACCCACTAGGCTGGACAGGTGACCCTATTTCTTATCAAGTACAACCGGGGAATCGAAACCACGCCCGTTGACTCAATGACAGATCTTATGATACAACACACACGAGCTAACCATTCGGCCATCTAACCCCCTCCTAATTCAGAAAAACGCTTTATTGCATAAAAAATTAGGTAAACTCAGTATAAACGAAAATAGACAAAGTGTTTTGCATGCATTTGGAATTCACATCGGCTTTTGCATAACTCAAAAATTAACCTTTCCTCAATAGTCTTAGTCAATCAGCATTTTACGATCAGTCGAAGTAAGGGTTTCTGGTTGCACTTTGTCATACAGGGGTGCGCTACAAAAGGCAAGACTTTTAAGTATAAGACTAAATAGTCTCAAATGACGATACTTAGTTCGAAAACGTCGATAAAAATAATGTCTATTCACCTGTTCCATCTTATATAAGGAGACAATTACACCCCTACCCCCCACCCGCCCAATATGATCAACCCCAATTGCTCCCCTGAATGTTTTATTATAGGTTTATGACAACAGTAAATTTTTCATTAATAGATTACTGTGTCCAATTCCTTACATCCTATTGCATGAGAAAAGACTAATTTTCTTTAAGTAGCAATGGTATTGTTTGATTTAGCCTGTGATGTCCCAAATAATTAAGAAAGACGCTGTTGCCTTGGTATTACTGATGACCGTTAGATATGCCTCTGTGGAAATAATGGTATTATAAATTAACGTTATTGACATTGTATCATGTTCTGGTAAACCTCTTCCCTCCAGATGGACATTAATAACCAGCAAGACGTTGCAATCCCTCTAATACCCATTCAAACACTTTACTCATATCTATAACTGTACACAACTTGTAATTATCATAAGCTGTATATGATGAATGTAATACACATTAAATACAGATCATTATCACATGGTAATTAATAACGATTTGCATACCATTGTTGGAATATCAGAATATATATATATTTAAGGTTGTGCTTATATAAAACGAAATAGTATTGCAAGTCTTACTCTCCTAGTTGTTTGGTTAATACAATGCAGGTTTGGTATGCTTATGAAGACTACTGTCTTTGTAATTGATATAAGCATTCAGGGTATGGTATGTTTTTTTGACAAGTTCTGAAAATTATAATATGAAACAAATGAAATTGGCGAATAGTAACATATGAACATTAATGTAATTAAGCAATTTGTACAGTCGTTCGAATGGGACAAAAAACCTAGTTCCCCTGTACACGTAAACGAAGGCCGTAGTGAAGGTGCAGAAAAGTAAGACGTTAAATCCCATTTCATTCTCTTTAAACATGCTTTTTATTGTACTTTTCCCAAGCGTCATACATTAAAGTGACGAAAAACAAGAAGACCCCCCACCCCGTACACACCCAACACACACTCACACACATCTACCTCTCTAACAGTGGCTAAAATAGAACACCATAATATTGCTATACATTTGGGTTAGAAGACAGCTAGTATTTTGTGTAGAGAATATGATACCCAGTTAAATTCGCGCAGATAATGGGCTACAAGAAATTGATAAGGACTGGCGTTTAAGATTCCATAACAATTAAACTACAAGAAATGGCTATGTTCATTAATTGAAAAGCCTAAATATCATGATTCATCTGATTTCTTGTGAAGAGCATGTATCTTTGAAATCATCCCGGCAATAATAATAGCGAGTGATGTTCTCCAAACAGCAAGCGGCGAGCTTAAATCGATACAAGTACATCCACTGGGTACTCCTAGCATAATTCATTCTTTCTTCATCCGCCTTAAAATCAACTATCCATGGCATTCCAGTTAAATGTCTGATGCTTTAAAGTAGGATAGTGGCAAACCAATTGAAAACAACAGTAACAAAGCCATTGCGTGGAAATTGAAGATTTTTGTAAATTAACACATATATGGAGAATCTTTGCACGCTTTTGGATGTCACGTGAAGGCTGAATTTCTCTTTTCCGTGTCTAAGTGTTTATGGTGTCTGTCGGCCATCTTTAAAGCTTCGTGGTAGCAGGAGACATTAAAGAAAATGAGTTTAATATTGATGTTAATCGTTGGTATTCTAATAGCAGAGGGGGATACAGCAAAGGAACTACCTATCGGTAACTAACCCTTCTTTAATTTACATTCTAATAAGTTCATCATTCTGAAAGTAATTATTGCATTTTTCTTTTCTGTTAAGATAACGTGTCTTTGCTAATTCATGCGTATTCAACAGGTTGCATATATTATGTATTTATTATTGTTTCATAATAAAATTGGGCGTTTTCCCCAGTACTCCCCAACCCAAAAATATTTTAGCTATGCGCTTATTGTGGAAGGGCAAACAAAGGCGATGTGTTCCAATACATGTCGCTATTGTCCCATGAATTTCGACCCGAACCTACTTTAGATTCTGGTTCTGCTATCTATATGTTGTTATAGCCCTACACCCCTACCTGTAAACTTTATTAAATAATGCAGGCCCTATTCAATGGATATACAGTAAAACACCCCGTTACTTAGCAACCAAAATGTAAAGTCAGGTCAGTGGGAATCATTTTAATAAAACGTGCCGTAATTAACGGCATGAGATTTTCAATTAGTTGTTTGCATTATCAACACTTCGAGTTAATTCTAAATTTGTAAAGGCAGTATGATTTGGCATCATGTGAAATGTAATATGGCATTGATCAAAGTTATGGTAAATCAATATCCAAATGGAAGGATTACACACAGTACTTAGCCCTGTATTCCCTGATGATGGCCATTAGCATACACCACTAAAGATGGCCTGGCCATAAGATCCAGACAAACACATTCCACTAAACCGATTAAATTTGTAGTGAATTATACGAAATGAATATAAGTTTTTACCTAGGCCCCTAAAACACAACCCGACTTGTATTTCTAGCGTCAGCAAAGTTACAAGTCGGTGAACTTATATAAAAAGCGTAACGTATATATCTGCACACCCCGCAATTTAACAGATTTGGTGGTCGGGGAAGGGGGGGGGGGGGGTACGTTGCGTAAAAGAATAAAAATGTGTTTCTTAATAAATGTTTTGAAGACGTGTTTAAGGAGCTAAATTGCTAATATTTGGGACCTAGAAATGTAAACAAATGGGTCGCAACGTATGTAATAATGTAATATGAATGTATATAAACTGATTTACATTCAATCGTTTCCGTTTTTACTGTTATTTCTAATCAGTTATGTTGGGCGAAATACGCCAGAAGTCTCAATCGAATGGCAATCTCTAGCGTCTGATTATTTCAGTCTACACCAATAGTATTTATTGCGCATGCTCTCCAGATGAGAATATGTCGTCAGCGTTTGACATGACTTGTAGAAAATGTTTAGCCTCGTTCTTCAAGTTCGAGTCCCTTGTTACAAATGGCGCTGAAACGCATTATGGTACACGATTCGTGTACCAAGGGTAAAATGTTTATTTTGTCTTAAATACTGGATATCGGAAGCCCATCGTTTCACGTAAGATCTCAACATCATTGTTGATTTAAATTGACCAATAATTCGTGGTTTTTTTTAATGTCGAAGGCTTTGAATAGTATTGAGTTAGGGACTTGGCTACTTTAATATTTATACCAGTGTGATGTCTATCATTACATAGAGCTTGTTAATAGTTCAAGGTTCCAGTAAAATACAGGCTGAAATGATCTCAAAATTTATATTATTTTACCGATACACACTGAGTGGGTTAATAAAATTTGTAGAGCAATGATATATGCCCTAAATCATAGTCAATAGTGTGGTGTGGCGTGGTAATATCAAATTTATTTTGTACATCTTTTGTGTTTTTTGAGGTTGGGATGAGACTGTAGGACACAAACACACACAGTATTACCTCAAGCAATTTAAATAACTTTTACCAACTATCTGTAGCGGGATGGGTAACCGATAGTCTAGCGCGTTCGTTTTAGATATTAAGGTCTGTAATTGCGTCAACTGACGTGGTTTCCATTTACAGCTTGTACATGACAGGGAGTATAGGGTCGGATGTCCAACCTCGTGGGCTTTTTCCGGTTTCCTTCGAATTATTGAATTATTTTAACCATATGTCAGTCCCGAAATGGCCGAGTGAACTTAAACCTCTGTCTATCTCTCTCCTATTGGGCACTAGCATGTTAAATGTAAGCGAATATTGGTGGGCTCATTTACCTTATCATTTACCTTACAGTTTGAGGAAATTTGCGATTTGTTTATTTTGTTTCTAATATCCTAAAACTGTATTACTTTTACAGGCTTGATATTGGATGAACATGCACATGAAGCAGAGATGGCGTTTAATTTTGCAACTATGGTTATCAACAATGACCCAACGTTTCCTAGGTTAAGCGGACGCAGAATGACGTTAAAGGTTTTGTCGATTAACAGAACGGATGTTTCTGACAACTATAAACTAGGAGCTGCCAGTAAGCCCAACTTTAATTAATCTACTTATTATACACACTTTAGAACATCCAGATAACAAAATGATTATCTAATCTAAGCTAACCTTTTTGGAGACATGATCATTATTTTGCTTTATTCTATAACTACATGCAAATAAAGCAAATATCATTGAAAACAGCCATTGAATACATCCATTGAATAACCTATGGTTGTATTCAATCATAGGACACGTACTACTTTTGTCCAGAATGACGTCACTTTCAGAATTACGTCAATACTTGCGCAGGGATACCCTCTCTTGAACCATTGAATAAACCGAGTGGTATTCCATGGTCGTTGAGGTCTGTCTATATATTTTAATTTTAATATAATCTATATTTCTATGATATATCATAAATAACATTACGGTTTTTATTATATTTCTATGCACGTTCCAAACTGTTTGCAGAACAGTGTGTGGAGTGTCTTTAATAGTGCATGCTGATATCAAGTAAAATTTTACGCATCGATGCATCGGATGCAAACATCGATTCTCGTAACGATGCATTGGGAATTTGCCGCCATTTTGTTAATCAAAAATTACAGAAATAACATTAGTATTTCTGATAGAAACATAATTTTCCCTAACATTATCATTAGGCCTATTATAGAAATGTCGATTTATTTGAATAAATTTATTTCACAATATTCTTCTGTTATTTATTATGACATTAATATCGTCCGATTCACTTCAATTGAGACTTGTTAGCCATTGTTCAAATTTGTTGTGAAGGGGTGGGGTGATTACAAGAGACAGTGTTTGCATTATTTATATGGATCGTATCAAAGCCTGTCTATAGGGGTTTATGAATTCTCTATTGCTCGTGGCAGAAAATAAGACTGAATCGTTTTAAAACTAGCGTTAAGAACCGGCCGCGAAATATTATCCTTCTGACAGTTCGTTTGGTCATTTAAATGAACCGTGAAATTGACCTTGGGATTAAAGGACACGATAGCCAGGGGACGTAACCAGCAAACGCAGTCTTTGTAGTCACTGGAAAATGGAGACAAACATAACGGAACGTAGGGTAAACAGGTCAAGCCTAATAATAGTTCGTGCGGGATTCATTGAATTGTTCCGTTACATATATATTGTTTTATTTTGAATTATAAAAACATATTGAAAAGGTGTTTTTTTTTATTCTAGTGGACTAGCACTCCTCGGACACATAAAGCTAATTATTAGTATTTTTTGCCGATGCATCGATAATACAAAAAAGGACCGAGAATCGAATCGGCGTCAGCCAAATCGATGCATCGGCGATGCATCCATACTTGATATCAGCACTAGTCTTTAACAGACTTTATTTTGATAAAACCTTTTATTTGTCTGCAAACCGGGATCTATACGTCTGTCTGTCACTTTTATTTTTACGGATTTTTTTACAGCAGGGATGAACTGGCCATACATAATACCGTATGATTACCGACTCCTGGATTCTCGACGTTATGTTGCGAAACGCGTGAAACGGCGAGAAGACGGATTGATTACTTCCGGTTGTCTGCTCTCGTTGTTTGTTTCTTTTACCGGTATACGGTAATACATTTATTAAATATGTCATCATATGATTTGTAGAATCAATAATTGGAAGCCATTTTCGAGGTAAGAATATATTTTCGGTAATTATGCGTAATTAGTACGTCAAGTTGGTCTTGATGAAAATCTCGATTTCGAGATACTGAGTGATAGTCAAGTTTGACAGCTACTTTTTAAAAACCGACAACAGCGAGTTTTCATTATTCACATTAAAAATAAAATAATATGGTTTTGTGTTATAAATCTTTATCAATTTTATGTTCAACTTGCAGAATTTTTCATCCTGTAAAGAAGACGATAATGGTATAGGCCTAACCAATAAACACTTTTCAAACTGTTTACCTTTTTTTCTATTTACTATAGGTCTACTTTTATTTTCAAAAGATTACTAATATTAATTGAAATAATATGGCCAAATTAATATAATAATGTATGATATATTTTAAATATTTTTAGTTTCAGATATCAAGGATGCAGATAACCTTTATTAATTCATGCGCAGTCCCTTCAATAAACAAGATTTTTAGAAGAAGTATCGTTTAGCTATTTTAGTAAATAAATCTATTTCACTCATACCTAAACAAATATTTCCATTTTTTACCTTACAAATGTTATCTTTTTACGCCTACTGAAGCCAAATCAATCGCACAACAAAGTTAAAGGTCTTTGTAAAACATATTTTAAAAATATAAATTCTGCTTATTTCAACAGTCAAAAACTTCGGTCTCCATCCTAATATCAGATAAAAAAATATATATTACACGCGGATAATTAGAATAAAAAAAATGTGCTTCCCCCCTCCCATTTTCTGAAGTTTAATAGTTTATTCAATTTCCAGTCACCCATAATTAAAATCGTGATGCAATATTTTAATATTAAAACAGTAAGCCTAAAAGCTTATTTCACTGTTCTTGGTTCATAGGCCTTATTCTTACCACCTGTGAAATATTTCCTGAAGCACTAACACTAATTTTAAACCATTCAGTAAAAAAAAATATTATTTTGATTTATTGTTTGTGTGCCAGGTAAGCTGTATGGTTAACTTCAATTTGTATGACAGATAATATATTCCGATATTATTCTGAGGTAGTGGGCTAGGAACGGTTGATTGCATTAAACCAGAAAGTCCTGGAATTGAACAGGGAAACAAATATTTCAAGGTCCATTTGTTTATTTTGTTGCATGACAAATTAAGTAATTAGGTGACACCGCAAATTAAAACCCCAGTATATAAATCATTTTAATTGAGTATACGGCGGCACTTTGACATTGTTCAGACTGGGATCAGTGTCGTAAACAATGATTTATTCACACCAGGAACATAAATGTAAAACAGCTACATAAATTAAACAGGAACCTTAATCAAATAGGAAACATAAATTAAACTACACCAGGAACCAAACAATAACATTAACATGGTACATTAAGACAGCCTTTCCACGGCGATGGCTGAACTCGCCTATACAACTTTATTATTAAAGCCGCTTGGCACCTATGTTCCCCGTTCTCTACAAAATGTATATATAGACCAGTAGCCCAGGGGGCCAACCTAGCTGAAAGTGCACCAATTTTCCCCTATATAGTATCAATGTATGTATATCTGGTATCATCAGAATGTAAGTCTGTCGGGTTTCTGGTGGTGGGCGTGGTATTCCACGCCCTAAACCACGCCCTAAATGCCATGACCCCCAACTAGGCTAGATTAGCTCAAAAGTGTTTTTGTAATACCTGAAGGTGTACGGTACATTGCTGTGCGATTTTCATGTGGTACACTTTTGAGATAATCTAGACTAGTTGGCTGGACTGAGAACAGGGCTCTGTGGCATGCCCGAGGGGAATGGTTTTGAGGGAGGGGGACCCCCGCCCCCAGTAACAACAGGCTCTTTCTTTTCTTCCCTACAAATAGTCGTGAAAACATTGAAGGATGTATCCACGTATCGCCACAGCTTCAGGCTTGTGACAGAAATCGTTAATGGTCTATTGAAAAAAGTCATCTATTTGAAATTAAATTTTAATATCTTTAATTATTATTTTATTATTATTATTACGTTGATTTAGAAACTACAGCTGTAGCTTTAAGCGTCGTGTGCTAGATCCGGAAGTAAACAATCCTCCTGTGCCAAAAATATGTGCACCAATCAGAACGCGGCATCACGTAAAGGACTAAAGACGAGTCGGCTATCATACGGTAGTATCAAGAAAATAGAGACTTTTGGCAAGTGGAATTTTTCCTATCCGTATAACGTATCCGTATCGTCACGTGATACGTTGCGTTAATTTAGTTTTAGAGTTTTGGCAGACTTCGCGCCGCGTACGTATGGGTAGCTGAGCTGAGCGTAGTTAATTACAGTATAATGGCAGTTATCTACCAAGATCAACATCAGTACTAGTCAAGTACCTAGCCTACAAATTCCTAAAGGGAGTGAAGTCGTTCGACAGTCGCTGAGTTATTTACATTTTTTTTTTTAAAATTAGTGTCTAATCTTATTAAAAATCTTCATTAATGTATCATTTCAGAAAGTATATACCCCTTTTACAGATTTGCAAGGTCCCACCTCCCTAAATTTAGCACGTGGGATCAACCAGCGTGCAGACAGACAGGAAAAATATGAAAATTCCGCAAAAAGCTCATCAAAAGTAATAATTAAATTCCAGTCTTTGCCATGGTTATATCACGTCAAATATACACCTTCGTGTTCTAGGATACACATTTATAAAAACGCTACGGCACAACATTTCAGCGTCTAAAAGTAGCAAAACATACGGTAAAAAGACGACGATGTTATACGGACCTTATCCGTATGAAAGCTGTTCGATACGTGCTGCCGTATCCGTGTGCCGTATCACGTATGAGAAATACACACGCATTGATGACGTCACACACAAAATCGTTACGGATACGCAATACGGACCAATAATTTACGTTTGCCAAAAGTCTCTACTGATAAACACGTTTCGTGGGATTCAGTATTTCTTTTATTGAATTATGGCCCTTTGTGGACATATAATCAAATCAAAATTAATTCAAGGTCAAACATTTGGGTATTTTGATTAGGGTTGGTGTATATAACAGAGTTACAGATCAAATTGGCGTTTCTTGGGATCCCGGTTTGTTTTGGTTTTTTTTAGTGAATTTTAGCCATTTGTTGACTTAAAATCAATGAAATTTTGCTTTGGGGTATCCTTTTAATTAAATTTGAGGTACTTGATTGAGATTCGATACACTGCTGTATATATTAGCGTTACAGATCAAGTTCTAATTTCGTGAAATGCCATTACTGTTATTGAATTATGGCCCTTTGTCAACTTGAATTCAATGAATATCCTTTTTATCGAAATTATTTTAGCTTGATGTATATGATTGAAAGATTGGTGCTTTCCGTAAATTAATGTACGATCCATGTTAGTAAACAAATGGACAGTTGAGAAGATAATCTTGGTTCGTCATGATGCAAATTATGTATGTTTTTTTCCAGTTTGTAGTATGGCGAATAAAGGTGTATCAGCAATCATCGGTATTAGCCACCCAGTATCCTATAATACTATACAGTCATATAGTCACGCTCTACAGATACCGTATATACTAGTATCACCATCACGATCATCATCTACAGATATTTATAAATATGATATTAGTCTATCACCACCTTATTCTGAGGTTGTCATTGATCTGATTGACAGGTTACAGTGGCCTAAAGTATATTATATATACGATTCCGATGATGGTAAGATGTGTTTTATTTCTAATGTTCTAGTAAACGGTATAATACGATTTTCACGTCGTTGTTGTTGGTTTTTTCCGTTTTTTGTTTGTTCTTTGTTTTGTTTTGTTTTTTGTTGTTTATTTATTTATTTTTTTTTGGGGGGGGGAGGGGCAAAAGGACCTAATGTATTGCAACATATAGACCGACAAGGTAAGGTATGGTATGCACAATGCTCATTCTTCGCATCTTTTCCAAAATTTTTCTGAAAAATTGACAAAATTATGGAAAATTGGAATTTTGACAATGTGACTTAAAAATGAGTGATTCGAGATGGCTGCAGTTTTTATTTTGAAATATCTCCAGTGATACTTATCCACGCCTTCTGGTGCGCAGAAACTTCATATCTATAACATATCTTTGCTTGTCGGTCACTTTAAGCAATACATTGGCCGCTACGGACAAAAAGAAGCTCTTTTCGGTAAGATATTTTATAGGTTACATGCTCTAATAGTAATATAAGGTGCAATATACAATTCTAATGGCAAGATATTTCATAGGCTGCATGTTCTAATTATAAAAGAAATGAAACGGGGTTTAAAGTCCCACTGTTCTGCACCAACTGGGCTAATGAAGACGGGTGTTTTAAATATAAAGTATAATACAATTCTCATGATATTTAATATATTATAGGATGCCGAAGAGCGAGGTATAGGAGTATTTTGACTTTCTCTATATCTAGCATATTTTTATTACATGTTCCATATTCAAAATATATTTAAACGATGACAATGTTCGAATCAAGTAGAATACATTTATCTGCATCACAGATTCTTCAGTTAATGATATATTTAACTCATCTACCTGTTTCGACTTTCAGGTTTATGGAGATTACAGAAAGTGTATCAATACTTTCAAAGACGAAAATATGGTCATATAATAATTGACGCTTATCGAATTAAATCTGTTGAAAATTCATATGATCAGCTACGACGACTGGATAATAAAGAATTTGAAATCAAGAGAATTGTATTGGATTTGTCATCAGCCGACTCTTATAGAACTATTTTAGAACAGGTATGGTATTAAACTTATAGAACTATTTTAAAACAGGTATGGTATTAAACTTATAGAATTATTTTACCGTAGTATAGTAGGGTATTTTAATAAACTTATAGAACTATTTGACGGTATCATAATACTATAGTAGGGTATTAAACTAATAGAACTATTTTAGAACAGTTACGTCAAGCATGCTTTGTGGTTTTTGTTTTGGTGGAACCATATTTCTAATAGTTACAAGTAAGTCGGGGAGGGATTCCCTCCCCCATCCCCGAGCGCGATACTGTTTATGAAAACTAACTACCTATAGTGCTTTCTATATAGATCATGAGGGTTCTGCCAATTATGTACATATTTAGCGTGTCGCAATATTACCTTCAAAACGTCATAGATTCGAAGCGTAAAAGAAGCCATACATTACGTGAGAGCATTAACTTCCTAAGCTTCACATTACAGACATTAAACTAACAAAGCCAGACCTTCGATGTGCAATACTATACGTGTGTGTGTGTATTTTAGACTACCCAAGATGTCAGCTGCCTTTTCTTATCAGATATCTTATTCGTCCGCTTCGACCTGGGGTGATATCGCAGACAGGTTTTTCTTATGAAACTTGTAAGACGAGGCAGTCGTATAAAAGCCTCATCTAGCTTAGGTGGGAGATAGGCGAGCGATTAAGAACTTTTACCACCCCCATTTTCTTGATTAAAGGTGCAATCGTGCCTTTTGTTTGAGAGACATAGCCCACATGATGTTAAGGACCATTCATAAAATCCTTCCAAAGCCTGCAAAGGCGTTGTTACTCCTGGGTACAAGTAGCATATAAGGTAATGTCTAATCTGGATAACTGATGAGATGGCGTGCGGGCGCAGTCTGGCCCGCCTCACTGCCAAATCTCCGAAATAGAGAGGGATGATTTGTTTGAGGTTTTGGGCGGCTGGCAGTAGGGCGTAAAGGCCCCCGCTTGCCCAGTTTAGACTTAACATGTCGATGAAATACATATTCACGAGGCTAAACGTTGTCATGCCACTGCCCTTTGCTTCAACAAACGGTCCTTCCTAAGCCACCCAACATCCCTTCAACTAAATATGTTTGTTTCAGAGGTCTAAAAGCTCTAAAGATCGGGAATAGTATTTTCTGTAGTGTTGAGATGTGAAAAGGGGCGTAACTCTTTTAACGGTTGTCAATTACAGGTTGTTGATATGGGAATGAACAGAGATAATTATCATTATATACTGTCAGGATTGGTATGTATAATGTTTAAAGATGTAATATAATATATCTTGATACGAAAGTATAACTTTTACTCAACCTTTTTAATGCTTCTCCCATAGAACATTTGATTTGAAGTCATTATCCGCCTGTCATTTCCTTTGATCTCGGGAGCTAAGTCTCTATGTCTCTGGCTATTTTTATATATTTATGATAATTTTGAACTACAGGGTGCTGTAGATCTGAACAGCTCAAATTTTTACGACATGTTTTTATATGGCGGTGTAAATATAACAGCATTTAATGTGATCAATACTTATGGTGATATGTACAAAAGATGGGGACGATTGGCACAGAAATACAGTCGACAATTCAAAAATATATTTCCATTTAAGGTAAAGTAATTTAATTTATTCTTTACGGTAAGGTAATTATTGTCTTATTTATTTACATGTTTAATAATGACACCCAATTAATTACAGCCAGAGATAAATTACAAATTGGTCGTATTTATTTCTTAATTAATTTACAGTTCCTTAAAGGGGAATTATGGGAGATTAGGTAATGAGTTGACCGTTCTCGCTATAATAGTTTTTTTAAAAAAAAAAAAAAAATAGATAACGTAAAAAGAATATGCTGAAAATTTCGGTCAAATGGCTCCACTCTGAATCGAGATATTAGCTTTTCAATTTTAGGCTAGCCCCGATCATCATTACTAAAATCGGCACGATAAAAAACCCAACAAAGTCTCGATTATCCATTTTTGCGTTTAATTATCCTTCACAAAATGTATTCCAAACCGCTAAATATCGCAGGCTAGCGATGGCATAGAGAGTTAATTATGGTCTGGATAAGTTAATGAATGTTTAATTGATAATTTAGATAACATTTCAGGCCTAAAGAAAGACCTGTAATAGGCAGATTTAGCTCTTGCATATATGTATGTTTAATATACTGTTTCTTGTAATTTTGTAAAATCAATCAAATTTTACAGACGAACACGGCATTAATGATAGATGCCATTATGGCTCTTTATGAATCAATTGCACCGTTATACGATCAAAATGATTTGAGAGATGAAAAATTATTTCGACCGAATAAAGACAAGTTGAATCAGGAGGTTCAATGTAGAGCTGAATTATTGAGACCATCAAGATTTGGTCATTATGTCCTTAATACTCTGTTACAGGTTTGTTTAAATATATTTCTACCTATCTTTGTTATATAGTATATCAAATGTTTGTTTTCTTAAAGGGGGGGGGGGGGGGTCACGGTGGGTAAGAGGTCGGATGTTCGATCCCTGCACTGCCCGAGAAAGTTCATCCAGTGGTTCCCCCTTGTCAGTGATGCAGGACGGAGGGCCTGCAAAGGACAGCTGTCTAGTCTTTCGGGTGGGACGAAAACCCGAGGTCACGTGTACACATTGACGTTCACGTAAAAGATCCCTTGACAGTTGGAATTCGATATAAGAGTAGGCCGTAGTGCCGCTGTCCGGGCAAATTTTCCCTCATAGCACATGCCCGTCTTCATTAGCCCAGGTCGGAGCAGAACAGTAAGACGTTAAACACCATTTCATTTCCATTTTTGTTTTCTTAAAGGTAAATTACTTTCCAACGAAAATTTATGAAGAATTTGCTCTTTAATATATTTAAATGATATACAGATGATAATGATGCATGAATACGGGTGCTATGTGACGACATTATGTGGATACAAATTACATGAATACAAAATTATGTATACATGTATATATAAATACATTGATTTGTAAATACAACTGATATTTGTATTTCAGGTCAGATTTCAGGGATTAACTGGTTTAATTGTATTTGATGCTCATGGAGTCAGGATTAATTATTCTTTAGATGTGATGAATCTAGGATTCCAAGAATCCTTTAAAAAGGTTTGTCACTTTACAAAATTTATTAACAGTATTTAGCTATAGCTCAGATAGAGAAGTGTCATCAAGTGTTTATTTAGCTATAGATCTAGATCAGATAGAGAAGTGTCATCAAGTGTTTATTTTCTAAAATGTTAATACTGGATGTTATCTTGTAGATTAAAACCTGGACACCTCGTACTTCTAAAGAATTGCCGGATTACACCATCAAAATAAATGCATCATCACTTTATAACCGAACTCAGAAAATAGCAACAGTAATGGTAAGAAACTATAAACAATTTGGTTAACACAGATTTAAAATATGTCAATAATATAAATTAAATTGCCTATAGACCAAAATCTGTGATGTCTGTCTATAAATACGTTGGTGTGAGGGGGTGATGGCTGCTTGGGTAAAACGCCCAATTAGTTCTATTTCCAATAAAAATAGGTACCGCATTTAATCATGGTTTCTAATTTGATGATGAATTCCAGGAACAACCATTTACAATGATAAAGAAAGAAAGAGATGGGGAACCACCACATGGAGGATCTCAGGGTTATGAAGGGTACTGTGTAGATTTAATAGCTTTAGTGGCTAAAAAGGTTGGTTTTGAATACGTATTGTTGCCGAGTAATGATTATGGTAAGAAGTTAGAAAATGGTTCATGGACTGGTATGATAGGAGAACTAGTCAGAAAGGTAAAATAAACAAACATTAAATCAAATGATGTATTAATTTGAAATTTACAAGGAGCAACGTTATTCGCGAATAACGAACCACGAACTAGTTTGTTGTTCGTTATTCACCAGATATGGAATTAGTAATATAATAAGTAATTTATAATAAAGGCGCATTTATAGGGAATACGCCGGTAGTGTATTTTATGGACCTAATTGGTTTCTACCACTTACTAATTCCATATCTGGTGAATAAGGAACAACAAACTAGTTCGTGGTTCGTTATCCGCCAACATGAAACAGCTCGTTATTTACGTAGAAAGGCAGCATTTTAGAATCTTATTTCCCAAGACTTCGAAGTGTTAAAAACCAATTAGTCTCATAAAATACCCACTCCCGGCGTATTCTTTATAAAATTCCATATTTTGTGAATAACCAATAACAAACTAGTTCGTGCTTCATTATTCGCCAATGTAAAACAGCTCGTTTTTCAGGTAGAAAAACAGCTTGTTAAAATCTATTTCTCAAGACTTTGAAGTGTTATAAATCAATTAGGCTCATAAAAAACCTCTCCAGGCATATTCCCTGTAAAGGCGCTTTTATTAATTCCACATCTGGTGAATAACGAACAACAAACTAGTTCGTGGTTCATTATTCGCGAATAACCAACAACGAACAACAAGCTAACTTCATCGCGCTTATTAAAAGATTTCAGTTGTTTTCAAAAATATGATAGTGAGTCACCACTAAAACTATAAAAGGCTTTAAATAGTTTTATTTTTATTTTTAGGAGAAAGATATTGCTGTTGCATCTTTGACTATAACAGAAGAACGTGAACGAGCTGTAGATTTCTCTAAACCATTTATGAGTACTGGTATCAGTATAATGATAAAGAAACCGGATAAGCAAAAACCAGGTGTCTTCTCTTTTATGCAACCATTGGACAAAACAGTATGGATTTGTATTGGTATCGGATTTCTAGCTGTCAGTTTCGTATTATTTTTTGTTGGTCGATTCAGTCCTTATGAATGGAGTGGAGATGGAGATAAAGATGAAGAAGTCGCCAACACGTTTACAATATCCAATACCATGTGGTTTTCCTTAGGGGCGTTGATGCAACAGGGCTCTGATATATCCCCGAGGTTGGTTACTTTTAAGGATTAGCTATTAGTTGATCCTGGGAGCAGATTTATTTATGATTAAGAATGACTTCAGTTCTAGAATATACAGTTATCTCTATAATAAAGAAATTGTAGCTACATCAAATAGTTCTATACCATGTTGTTTAGATTAACAAAAGCAAATTAGAGATACACAGTTAACAGAAAGGATCTAATAACAATCAGGCGAATGTTTAGGAAACGCTATTTAATTTCTGCATTTGTGAAAATCTTTATTTTTTATGTGGAAAACATAATGAATGAGAAAACGATAAAATCAAAGTATTTTTAAAAGAAAATAGATTTGGAAAATAAAACACGTTTCTCCTTGTATATAAAATTACATTACCCATTAATCATTAGCAACATCAATATCAAGACACACCACAATCGATACGATAGAAACATGTATTGGGTTTGTAAATGTTTACAAAACGGAGGATTATATATTTAATATATACAACAATTATTTCCATATCTGGACTATGATTATATTGGCTGCTAAAATATACAAAATACCGACTTTCATAAGTTATTGCTAGTAAATAAAAATAATATAAAGATTTGCTCCCAACGATTCTTATCATATAAGATTCAAGTCGAAGCACTTGCTCAATTCTTAATGAGAATTCAAGGCGTATCATCTAACTATTTAACTCTCCAAAACGTGAATAAATAAAATCCCTCCACCCCACCCCCCACACCCACAAAAAAATTGCAAATTATAATATTTTCAATTGTATCTTATAATTTACATTAATAGAGCATGAAAACCTGGTTATAATATTATACCCCCCCCCCCCCGCCCCCGCCTTGAATATTTTAGGCTTAATTTTAGACGCTGTAAAAAATATAAAGAAAATGATGATTTGCTTTAAATAAGGGCCTTGTGGAATATATTTTAAGACTCGTCTATTATACGCCAGTTTTGTCAATTGAAACACATTACTTTGTAACGATAAAACAATAAGAATAAAACTTTGATAATATGTTAGATGATACGCCTTTATATGTGCTTATATTTGGTAGAGTGTGGTTTCACCTTATTTTAAAGTTCTACCAAAGGAGGCAACCTTAGGTACATACCAGACCCTGGACGCATCGCTCTTCTTATAATATCATTATATTTTTAAAAAATGTAATCTTTTTTTCATATGTCTTAGCTTGTTATACAATAAACGTATATGATAAATAATGTATATCCTTAGTACAGTGTAACTGATTATAAATCTTCAGGATATTACACATTTTTAATATAGGACGATGGATCTATGGTATGTTATTTGATGGTATTTCTTTCCTTTGTAGGTCACTTTCAGGTCGTTTGATAGGGAGTGCTTGGTGGTTTTTTACTTTAATTATTATTTCTTCCTATACTGCTAATCTAGCTGCTTTTCTTACCATTGAAAAAATGTTAACACCTATAGCTTCTGCTGATGATTTAGTTAAACAAAGTGATATTAAATATGGGACAAAATCTGAAGGTTCATCGTGGACATTCTTCGAGGTAAATATTAGTTGAGGGAAGGTGTTGAACGCTAAATAAATATACATCCACGGCCGACCGTCGTCCATGGTGTCAAAAAAAGGCGACTTGTTGATGATGTGAGATTACACAAGTCTAATGCGATCAGCCGGCATATTGATAATATTTTAAAAGAAAGGTAGATAACTATAATATGAATAGTGAAAGAGAGAGAGAAGAGAGAGGGGGAGAGAGGGAGAGGGGGGAGGGTTTAACGTCCACTCGACATAAACCAGGTCATTTCGGGACTAACATATGGTTCAATTTTATTTCAATAATTCGCTTGCGCGTAGGGGTCTTTAGCACTGGGAGGAAACCGTAGGGGCCCGGAGAAAACCCACGAGGTTGGACAAGGGACCTTACTCCTTGTCACGTATACAACCGGGTAATCGATACCACGCCAGTTGACTCAATGACAAACCTTATGATACAGCGCGCACGATCTAACCATTCGGCCATCCAACCCCCCAAAAAGTTATAGAAATGTTATAGAATATTGTTAAACTTCGATGAACTACAATACCATGATTGGTTGCTGTTCAGTATAAAGTTAACAGTTATACTTTTTATTTATTTATTACTTTTATTTTAGGAATCCCAAGTGCCAGTGTATTCCATTATGTATAAATATATGAAAGACAATAAAGACACAGTATTACACGGGGCAGTTGAAAATGGTGTTGAAATGGTTAGAAACAACAAAGGAAAATACGCCTTTTTACTGGAATCAACAATGAATAACTATTATAATCAACGTGAACCATGCGATACTATTAGAGTGGGTGATAATTTAGATAATAAAGGATATGGTATAGCTACACCTGTTGGTTATCCTCATAGGTCAGTTGGTGATAAATAATAAAGCGTAAGATAATTTCCTTTTCGGTATGCAAAAGTGAACGAAAATACAAAATGGTTAGATAATGAATGCAGAGGGCAGCACTGTTCCCAATAACAGCCTATTTGGTATAAACATCAACTCTGTATTATTATTTAAGGTCCATATAAATCAATATGCAAAATGGCATTTGCATCTATTAATTCTATATTTCATTTGTCCTTTACTTGAAGTGGGCTCAATTAATAGTAATGGTAACCTTGGTTATAGTTTATTTAATGTAATAGATCTGAAGAATGTAAAGGGGAGAGAATTGACATGGAGACCGCTGAATTTGCATAAGAAACAAGATCCGTGGGGGCACTAAAATCCAATACCGGTATTTATATTATTTGCCATGAGGAGGCGGGATGTTCTCCCCGGGGATGTCTGTGGGAATAAAGCTAAAGTCGATTTGTAGTATATCAGAACCCCGGTAGAAGTTTGAGACTGGTTGAGCCGCACAGTTGAGGGATATGACATGGAATTAGTTTTAAGACCACATTGAATCCCGGTGACCTTTATCTTTGGGGTGAGGGTGGGCTTAAAAACTCATAGTGGTGAAATAACTTTAAACCCATGATGCAAGGCGCCTGAGCTATTACAGCTAAATGTCTATTTTGGAAGATGTAACGGTTTAGGTCATTGTGTTACTCCTACCACCAAACGTCTTTTTGTTATCAAATCATTTTATGACATAATATTCCATAATCATGTATTGGTTTTTTATCAAGAGATACTATAAATATTGCTGTATTAGAATTACGTGAAGTGGGAGAATTGCATAAATTAGAACAGAAGTGGTGGTATGATAAAGGGCAATGTGGGAATGCAGATGGGAGTAAGGCAAGTATAATACAATAATAGTAGTAATATTAGTATCAATAGTAGTTATGACAGTAGTAAAATGACAACAGTAACAGTAGTATGTAGGGCACTATATAAACTTTTGAACATTACATAAACTTTTAAACATTTATATATAATCTGTTGGTATCATTTTATAACAGGATGCTTCACAGAGTGCCCTAACTTTAAGTAACGTATCTGGTATCTTCCATATATTAATTGGTGGACTTGTCCTGGCCATGATAACCTCATCATTAGAATATTTGGTTCAACGAAAATTATACGCAAATAAAGCGAAGGTAGATATATTAAATTTCTATTGCTGGTTTAGTATTCCACTGAGCATTACCATAACGTCAATGACATTTGTGTTATAGGTAGACTAAAAATTGTTACTGGAGTATGATTTTGGACTTATGCTACAATTGAAAGTAAAATTAACAACCTATGTGATTATTAATAACTTCAGTAAAGCCACGTGGTCACGCCTACTATCCATATCACTTGTTCGAATTTTAATTTTCATGCTATATGATAATAATATACATACCTGCATGGCTATAACGGTGATTATATATTGATAAAATTTATCTGTAATTATCGTACTGTATATTAATACAATCGAGTTTCTGGTTTCTAAGAACTCATATTAAATATAAGTCCCTAGTAGACTAAAAATAGATAGAAATTAAAGTATATTTAAATGAGAAATACGCTGGTTTCCCAACTCCTTTATGTGTAAACAATCATATGTAATGTATTGGACGTTAAAATTGTGATAAGCACCGAAATGGTGTCCCGAAGAAAAGTTGGTTTATTGTGAAAATTATCCTTTAAACTGTTTCACATTGGTAAACATTAACTATCATATACACAGAACAACAACTTCCGGCAAGCAGGGTGACTGTTCTGGAAACAAGCTAGAGCGCTTTATGAATGTACAAATCGGCATTGATAATAAAATGGTGTCCTGGGGGTTGTTTCACGAAATTTTAACTAAGATAAAATCCAAATTTTAGTAATTTGATTGGATAATATTAGATTGATTTTCGTGCTTAGCCAATCAAATGAAGTATTTATTAAAATTTGGATTTTATCTTTAGTTAAGATTTTGAGAAACACTAAACAGGGCCCAGGGAATTTACAATACACCAAAGTTACCAAAGTAATGTTTCAGCTGTCAACCGTCTGTCATTAGATAAGTAGCTCAACGTCGAAATGATTATAGAATAAATGAATAATGAACTATTGAAATATTGAAAAATGATTCGTCCTCGTATCATAATAAAATAAAACCACGCTTAAATACTTTTCCAAAATGCCCATAACAGCCACATTTAGCATCCATGCACTCAAATCGGAACGTACACAACAATGGCGATCATTTACTTAAAAAGTAAAGGTTTTTTTCCTTCAATGTGCCTACATTTACATGTAGAACATGGTCGATTATGACTCACACTAGTATAATAAAACGTTTGGAAAATGTTCTCCTTTCTCGTTTTTCTTGAGTTGCTACCTTTACTGTTAGTTTGTTTTCATTTTTGAGTGAAGTGTGTATCACTGCAGGTCCGAGACTGTACAGCGCAGTGGGCGTTTACGACTAGTCCATGGATCCATATACTTGATCTGATTTGTGAATTTGTTGTCCGTGGGTTTGTTAACGGGGGGTGGGGGTGGAGGTAACTTGTGTTTTATATCCTTAAAGGAGCATTGTGGTAGATTAGATAAAAGAGATGACAGATCTCGCTATAATAGTTAAAAAATATAAATAACGTTAATAGAATATGCTGAAAATTTCAGTCAAACTGCTCCACTATGAACCGAGATATTAGCTTTTGAATTTTAGGCTAGCCTCGATCATCATTACTAAAGTCGGTACGATAATAAACAAAGTTTCGATTATCCATTTTTACGTTTAATCATCCTTCACAATCCGCTAAATATCGCGGACTTTTAATGGCATCGAGAGTTGATTATGGTCAGGATTGGCTAATAACATTTCAGCCCTAAAGAAAGACAGGCAGGTTTAATCCTTGCATAATGTATGTTTAAAGAATATTGGGCTCTCCTTGGCAACAACATCCCAGTCTTCCCAGTCTATCCTTGTATATATGTCTGAATTTTGCGTTTCAGAACCTTCTCGTTCTACCTTTAGTTGGACTTTCCCAGTTTTTGCATCTATCTAGGAATGGAAGCCGCCTGCAAGTTTTAAACTTCTCCGCGGGGTAATGTCCATACTCCTATTGGAAATGCATGGATATCAAACTGGTTTCGATTTTCCATCAACCACGGTTCTAGACGCGAAACCTTGTTCGGTTTGTCGCAATGTGGGAAATGGCTTTTTTGTCAAGCTTGTCATCTAATCATTTATCATTTTTCACACGCCTTTTAATACCTTGGCCAGATCTGTGACTAGTCAACAGTCTGTGTATATTTAGTGTAGGTGGTCTACTGCTGTAGAACTTTTATCTGGGCACTTCGTTTGACACTATATCGTTCGTGTGAACAGCTATATTGATGTTAGTACCAATTACATTCACTGAAGGTACCGTCGATTCTTTGGCAGCAAGCATCTGTTTCAGCCGCTGTCCTCTTATAAAAACTCATTTCTGCTTACTGTCGATTTTCTATTCTTCACTGAATTAAACCTGATCAAGTTAAAACAACTGAAGTTTTACCTTCTCATAGATCAATTCTGCATGAGTTGGCCTTAATAATTATACCCATTGTTTTCAATCTATTCGTCAGTTCACCAGGGATAACTATATTTTCCATATTGACAATATTGTATAGATTTAACTTACTCGCTTGTAAGAAGTTACGAGACTTTGTCCCACAAGACACTCCACCAATCTGTAGAAGTGAGATTATACACTGGTTTATCCTTTAAACTGTTAATACCATTAAACATTAACTATCATACAGAACAACACGTCTGACAGGCAGAGTAACTGTCCTGGAAACAGGATAAATCCTATGGATGCTTTATGGATGTACAAATCGATATTCATAATACAATGGTATCCTATAGAAATTAACAATACACAAACGTTACTAACAATCGTAAAGTAGGAAATATTAAAATAATAAAGACAATACAATAAAACAAAACAATAAGATTGGAATTAAACCCATTAATATCAGCTGCCAGTCGTCTGTCATCAGATTAGTAGCTTAAGGTCTAATTTATACTAAAGGATTAATATAAACATAAGAATAATAGAAATGTTTCATTGAATGAATGAATAATAGACGAATGAAATATTGAAAGAATGAAATACAAACAATTGACAAATTTATCACTATTATAGTATTCAGTTTGAAAACTACACAGCTAGGTGTAATTATTTTCATAAATGTCAGTGCATATTCTTTTCTTTATATATTAAAAGAAAAATGCCAAGAAGGGCCCAGCCGTAAAGCAAACGGTCGTAACGAGAAGACGGCGGCATGTGGATAGAGATAATCTTGATGGTGCTGGTCCTGGTGTTACTTCCTACTCACCAGAACGTGAAAATGGAGGAGTACGTAACTGATAAATTTATACAAGCTAACTAGAACACTGGAAAGTGTAGGATGTTTAGAATTTAAATAAATAGAACTTATTTATGTCAGAAAGTAATTGACATTATCGAGCCTAGGTTTTTAAACTGCATTAGGTAACCATATATACTTCCTTAGCCTCTATCTTTAGATATCTTAATGAATATATATAATATGTGTTTTTATTTTCAGTATAATATGGCGACTGGTGGTGCTCAACTGATCCATTTTGATTCTCATCCTTCAGATCACACAGAAATATAGTTAATAATGCACACTAGCAGAACAATGTTTTCTCTTATTACAGAACGTGACTATTATCTTTCATAGCTTACTTTACGTGTAAATATTTATATAACTATGCTTTTAATTTATTTTTATTCCAATTTTGATATAAATAAAATGTTGAAGAAAACAACGTGAATAAATGTCGATTCAAGCTGTCCACCTTGAAATTAAGGGGGCATGGGGCAGGGCATGGGGAAGGGTGGGGGGGCGACCGGGTGGTGTAAATAAGCCTTTTGTAGAAAAAGGGGCCAATATAGTATTATATAGTGGTACTTCTTATGTAAACTGAGTCATTAGCTGATAGATTCCATCTTGGTTGCGCTGATTCACATATAGACCTATTAAATTTTAATTAAATTTAATAATGAAAGATAGCCACGAAAAGCTTGGAAATACCACACACTAACCTTGTCTCAACAGCACCTTATTCGAAAAGAAAATGTGGGTGGTGACAAAATATGAATAGGCATGCCTTCAAGAAATCTGATCTCTGTCGTGTATGCAAGCTTGTTAAAACTGCTATATTTATGGCGATCACAAGGCAGAAATTGTATATACAATCCCTTTTTTTCGATTGATCACCAAAATGTCCACAAAAGAGGGAAAAGAGAAAGACTATTAATAACAGTTGCAGTAAATTCGTAACCAGTATAGAAGTTAATGATGGCCTGTGTCCAGCCAACTGTTCATTCATTTACTTATGCGATCTACTCACAGAATGTTCTACCAACCAGTTATAATGTTCACTAATTCGCTATATTACGACCTTTATTTAAACAACCGGTTGTCATACAAGAGGCTCATACTCTGATTGGCTAAATTTAAAATAAATGTTAAAAACTGTAACATCTATCGCGTTCGGGAGGTTTTCGGTAAAGGGGGACTAGGGTTCGCCCGCTCATGAACCCAATGCCTCAGACAAAATTTAATAAAGATCTGTCAAAAACTATGGCATCAATCGCATATACAAGCGAGGAAACACTTGAAGAGCCTAAGGGAAGAACGGTCTAAGTTATTAGCCATGAACCCCAGTTAATGGCGCCATCTAGTAGCAATTTGTATAAACTATCTATGGAACAATCGATTTCAGGTAAGAACGATCGGAGTCACATCGAACCAGGGCCTTTCTGAAATGGTCTTCAGGTCGAGAACGATCTAAATCCACACCGTTCTGGTCCTTATCGACGATAACCATCCACGGGCAGACTGTGTAGGGCAGGACCAGGAAACATCTGACACAGAGAGGAATCTGAGTAGGAAAGTTGATTTTCCTTTAACTTATCACAGAACTTTCGGATATCTTGGTAAACGTGTTTTATTTTATTAGAGTGATAATGACCTCTGGGCTATCACTAAGTTGGAACTTGAATCTGAATATGGTGATAGTATCTACACTAATGGGTAGTATCGACGAATCGCGAGCGTTTTTCGTCAAACTGGGTTCTGTCGTGGCAAACCGTAAGAATTTCGAGAACTCTCCTCCTGTGGCAATGCACACACACACCAAGCAATCAGTAAACGAGATCAACATGAATCAATTGAAAGGCCACTCTCTAAATTCCCTCGGCCTGATTTTAGGTCTAATTACATCTACATTGGTGACCGATCTAAGTTCAACCTAAATTCCGGTCTATTAGATCTAAATTAGATCCAGTTTCTACCTAAATAACGGTGAATCGGATTTAACTTGGATCTATTTCAGATCTAATCGACCTGAATTCAGGTTGAACTTAGATCTGTCACTAATTTCGGACTATTTGTATAGAATTAGACCTAAATTCAAGCCAAATGAATCAAAGAGTACATTAACCAATAATCGCCGTCTGTAGGCCAGAATCTGATGAAATATAATTAGGGGATAACTTTACTGATTCGTTGATTCGTGAGCTACATAAACTAATTTCATCAACAGCAACTTCAGATGTGATTGATAAATTATTTGTAGGTAGCCCGGAGAGTGAGCGAATCAGTTATACCGCTGCACGATTGTTTCTTGTATTCACTGGTCATATTACACCCCAGAAGAGTTGCAGGATATCGAGCTATTCTGGCTGGCCTGTGCCCAGAAGCATTTTCTGATGGTTGTAGAAGAGAGGTAAATTAACTTAAAATGTCGACCTCTCAAATACCTATCCCACTTCGTGACGACCCATGTACATACAAGGGCTTCTTTCTATCTTATACTTTATGGTTATTGAAAATTATTGAGTCAAAAGCAACGAATTTCTCCAGTGGGTTGTAGTTCACTAAGTTCTGCTCCAAGGGCGTAATAAGAACTATCACAAGTTTCGAAAGTGAGTTTATTAGGATGATAAAATGCCGGGACTGGAGTAGTCGTCAACGATAACTTAATTGTTTCGAAGGCTTTGTCGCAACCCGTTTGGTAATGGCAACACGTTTGGTAATAGGTACCTAATTCTCTATTACAATTTTCGTAAAGACACTGTCACGCGTTTGGTCATAGCGACGAGTTTTACAATATTACAAAACTCGTTGCCCATCTATTTGGCATTATTAATTTGGTAATTTAAGGTAAAGAGGAAGTTTTTTCCAGAAAAGTTTTAAGTTATCTAAAGTTTTTAAAGAGGCCGCCGACAACGAACAGTTGCATGTAATAAACCAAGAAGTAGTAAATCCATAAAGTTGTGTTATTATGCTTTTATCTATATTAATATTTGGCTTGAGAGTAGTAAGTTTATTGTTAAGATGGTCATAAGGAGTTTGATAATAAGGTAAGAGGTCAAATAAGTAATCAGGGCATTTTATAGATAAATATACATTGATTATAGATATGTCGATTTACTATTTTAAAGAATTTTCAATTTGTCTAGTCAAGGGTAAACTTCGGCAGTATATTTTACATTAATCTCGTGTTTTTACCACACTATGCTAATACTATATGGGCATCAAGTTGAAGTTTGTGTTCTAATTATTTGACAGTAGACTCAGAGGTGTATACTGTTGCCTCATCTACAAAGAGGTTGGTTTTAGAGGATAGGTATGAAGGTAAATCATTTATAAAAATAATATGGATCCCAATATTGATCCAGATAATATGTCATTAACAGACGTGCACTGACTTCTGCTTTTGAGTATGATTCTAGAAAAAGAATTGATTTTCTAGAAAATTTAAAAAGGTAAAGTTACAGAAAAAAAATCTGGTAAATCTGCTGACAGAAGATTTTCTGTTCTTTAACATAATTATTTTGGTTAAATATAAAACAAAATCATTTGTAAAAAATAATTTATTTTCTGTAAATGTAATTTTTCAGTCATGAATTTACAAAAATATTAAAAATGGACAGAAATTAAGAGCAAGAAATTTTACAAGGCTTACATTTTGTGATTTACTATACTTTCTACTTTAGCACTTATCTTCTTCTTCTTGCAATTTATTTAATCTTCAATACATACCTGAAATAAAATAATGAAACATGTACAGAAACATGACATTAAAAGGTGTTAACTTTCCCGCATATGTCATGGGGTATCCTATCAGCGAAATCTTGCCAAGGCAGCGGATATAACAGTGTAGGGCTTACGGTTGTTTAACATGTACTGTCAATAGCACACAGGACCCCAGTTGTTAGTCCAAACTGAACAAATTCCAACCTGTATCTATGCTGTAGATTTGTCTTCACACATACATATTATTAGGAAGACTTACCTTCACATCTTATTGTTGATTTCCCTCTGTTCTTTTTTCTGCATCGTCAGCGCACATTCGAACATTCACCGCCATAAGTAAAGTCTGCGACGCGCATGCGTTAACCGAATCCAACAGTATAACGCTGTGAATTATCAGAACAGTGCTGTTAATATACATGATATTCTGGAATGTTACAGATTTTTGATTACTAATACAATTTATATTGTTAATAAACAGATCTCATCAGTTGATATACTGAAAGTATGTAAAAATACCGACGTTTCTGTCAAAAAACAGAAATGCAACTAAAGCAACAGATTCTGGGGCCTGTTTCACGAAATTTTTACGAAGATAAAATCCAAATTTTAGTAATTTGATTGGATAATATTAGACTGATTTTAGTGCTTAGCCAATCAAAATTGAAGTATCTACTAAAATTTGGATTTTATCTTTAGTTAGGATTTCGAGAAACAGGATCCTGATTTTATCTCAAATCACAGATATTTCTGTGATAATATGGATAATTTCCTTCAAATAACAAAGCATAGTGATTTTAAAATACAGATACTTTTTACAGTGTATGTGAAGATCTTTCTTGGTCAGAAAATTAAACATATCGGTATTGAAAACAAACAACACTAAAATAATCACAATTGATTATCAACAAACACACTGGTCAAATATATAATGTATAGATATTTATAGTGAGTACGTAAGCTGCGAAAACTCTTGCTTAAATTGTAATTAAAATGACCGTTACCTGGCTAGGTATGTCTTTTCTGTTCTTTTCCACTACCTCGAGCAGATTTCCTCTTTCCTAGCAGAAGCTAAGTAATCCGAGCCAAGTTCGACATCTCTCTCAGCACAGTCATTGACGACATTGATGGCCTGCACATTGTTAACGTTTTCCTTGTATTGCTCCGAGTCTTCCCACTCTTTAAAATTCGGAGACAGAAATCCAGGGTCCAACTACATGATTCGGAACAAATACCAAGAGTATGGACCAACAAAGCCTGTCAGTGTAGAAGTCTGTGTAATTTTGTTCGGGAATTTTGGTTCCCCATATCTGGAACCAAATGGATTCACCGGTGGGACTGAGCTGGTCAGGCTTTATTTCAAGCAGCTTTTGAGCAACGCCGCGTTTTTCTTTGATGGGAAGGTAGCTGCCGAATAGAACTAATGCTACCAATTCTTGAGTGAGATACTATATGTGGCGATCGAATGCCTTAATGGCAGATTCTTTTACAACTGCAGATCATTCCAGGCAGCCTCGGTACTAGGAAACTTTACCCATCAAGTGTAGTACAAGAGCACAACAAAATAAACAAACCTCCTGACTATTTTGTTTCAACTTGCTGAGGTGATATAAAGGTACCTGTCGGAAGAAGTGCTATGTGTTGCTGGAATAAACAAATTTTGATACAGTACCGCAGCTTAACCATCTACTGAGCCTTGTGAATGGCGCCTGGTCTCATTAATTTACACTGGTATTCTGGATCCAGGAAGACAAGGCATAACTGCGAAAGTTCTCGGTAGTCATCTCGCACATTTTTGTTACTCACAAGCATCATGAGAGTTTTGGCTTTCCAAATCTACTTACGGTAAGCTTTTACTCCAAGCAAAACATCGCAAAACCTGACTAGCTGTCTAGCAAAAGTTATTAGTTCGGATACCAGTCAACTGAAGTAATTTGGACCGGAGTTGTGAGCTATGCAGACTGCGGATCGCGTTTAGTTGTATATGACACCCACAGAAAGTGTTTGTATCATATTGCTTGCTTTGCTGTCAATATTAAAGAAATTTCGGTGATTTAAGCAATTATTTTGTTAAAATGTGCTGGAGCTGCGTGACAGAACTCTGAAGGCTTGGTGGACCACCTAAATCACCTTCGTTTTACCTGAAATTTCATGTGAGAAGTCTTTTTAGGCAATAGAACAATATTTTGTAAGGTAGCCCATAAAATTTTCAAAGTTTCAGAAATGTTGAAATTGTTTTTCAGAAATGTTGAAATTGTTTTTCAGAAATGTTGAAATTGTTTTTCAGAAATGTTGAAAATGTTTTCCACAAATATACGAAATTATCAAAATTTAATTTTCTGCATCCTACAATCACAACTGTGGGACATGGCTTTAGCACATCGGGTCTGTTATTAAAGTATGTAATTGAATTAAGCTGGTAGGAATAATATATTCTATCAACACTGTCTGTGTAGCATACTCGCCATAGTTACCAAAGTAAACATAATTGTTTCTCTATAGCTATTTTAGTGCAGTATGAAGAATGGTAGAATACAATTTAAGCATATACAATGATGTTTCCGGATTAAGCGCGGAGAATAATATGGATCAATACAGGCCTTTCATCAGTTAATGTGTTGTTTTAAGACAGAAATCTATTATTGCTGGAATATAATCAAAGTCTGCAGTTGTCTTGTTTATCGCTACCATGACAAACATTTTACTTTGATGCTGATTGGGCGAAGACATCACATGATAGAAGATTATTGATTATGTAGGTTTGTCAAGAAAGACAGATCAAGATTTGGTATTTTATAGCGCATGCTACCAAGACTTCAATTGATAACGGTAGGTGTCTGTATTAGGATATAACCCGTTTTATCAACGTGAATTAAAGTCTATGTTTTAATCACTATAGAAGACATAAATAATGTACGTGTAGATTCCTGTTCCATCTGCATACAGATAGTAATATTGATTCAAACATGCTAATTATAAAAGTTAAGTATTCGATACGTATCATTGCGGAATAATAATGTGCCAAGCAAAATTTCGTCGATATTTGATTAATAATGGATTAACATTAACTCTGTTTCCATATTCTTCATGTACAATAATTGTACAATGATTGTCTTTATGCATATTTCAATTTTATTTTTCTAGGGAGGAGAAAAGGGCAACCGGTTATCAAGACGTATTTAATAGCTAGTTCTAAAACACGATTATCTGTTCTATGATGTCCTTGGTGAAACGTGGCTCCCTCTGTTCCTGTTTCAAAGACCCATCGACAGCCTACGTGGCAATGGAGTACGAAACGAAGGCTAAATTAGAAAAATGTTTTTCTATGAATCTAGAAGGTGATGATGATGATTGTGGTTCAGTTGGTGTGTTGTTATTACCAGTTGGTGGAAGAGAAACTATGGTTGTTTTAGATAGCCATAACGAGTGTATTAAAACATTTTCTCTTGGAGATGGCGAATTGTTAACGAATAGATACACGTTAGATGATAAACCAAGTAGCATAACAAAAGTAGCCGACGACAAGATAGCGGTTAGTTTCTTTGAGTCCAAGAAACTTTCCTTCTATTCATTGAATGAGGGATTAACCCTAGAGAAGTCGCTAGAAACCGAGAAGCAGTACTATAGCTTAGCATGTATAAACAAAGATAGGTTTGTCGCAAGTGCTGTATGGGATAATCCTGTCACGGTGGATTTTCTTGAAATCAAAGATCACGTTAAAATCGTCAAATCTGTTAGCTCATTTGAAGGAAAATCTATTTTCACCTGTCCAGAAAATATATCCGTTACATCAAAAGGAATTGTGTTGATCTCAGATCATGGTAAAAAGTCGTTGGTATGTATGGATCAAGATGGTACAGTCAAGTTTAATTGTCATCCAGAGTGTCATCATGAATTTGAGGTACCTCTAGGTGTCACATCAGATAGTGATGGTTATATTTATATTGTAGATCAATCCAGATGCTTAGTGGAGAAACTATCTAACGAAGGTAAATTTCTAGGACACATTCTCACTGAACAAGATGGCCTTGAAAATCCTGTCACAGTGGGCTTTGACGAGCGCGGGCAGTTGTATATCTCGCAAGAAAATGGTGATCTTAAAATATTTACCCTGTTTGGTTAAAATCCGCAATTTGAAGAAAATGGGACCTGTTAAAATGGTTTGTCCGCCTGTCTGTCCATCTGTTGTCTGTTCTTCACACTATTTGTGACACATGAACCCTGCTTCTAATTGGCCTGCAATATTACAACTTTGTGTGCTTGTTCGTTAGGTGCATTTCTTGACTTCGGGCGCTGATGGGCAATTTCATTGGTCGAGACTTTGGGACACAATATTTCTGCTTCTAATTGATGTAGAATGTTCAAATTGTGTGTGCATATTCATTTGGCGAATGTCTTGACTGCGTTCGATTAATGAGCGGGTTGGTAAGCTCATACCCTGTGGAAAACAATAATTCAGATAGATGTTCGTTGAGTGTATTTCTTGATTGAGTTCAACGGTGAGTATATTCTGCTAACGCTAAGCAGCAATCCGCCTGTCTTGTCTGCCCATTTACCCTTTGGAGCCCAATAACTGTGCTTCTCATCAAATTGCATTTGTTCAAATTTGGTATAGATGACAGAGATAAGCATTGTGATTAGCCAATAGTTTAGAATAAAATAATTCTACTTCTAACTGTAGGGGATTGCTGAAACTTGGTGTATATTTTCATTACATCAATACTTTCACTAATATAAGTTCGATAATGATCATTCCTGATTAGGTAGTGTAATAAACAATTTGATTAATTGCTAGATGTGTTATAAATAAATAAATGTGCAAGTGATTCGTGAGTGTCATCTATATATTTTGGGTTTGAGGCGGGGGTCATCAACCTCACTGTTGACTTAATTATTTATTAAAGTGCTGTTTAGGCACCGAATTAGCACTACTGTGTCTATGTATGTCACTCATTTTTGTATTTAGTATGTCGTCAGTCACTCATGTCCTTCCGTCCGTCTGTCTACAGTTAGATTGTTAAAGCGATAGATGCTACAGTTTGGGTTTGGTGGGAACACTGGTTTTTTTTTTTATCAGAGGACGATCCCTATCGATTATCAGCGCTCCGCGACCTTTTATTCTTGAGCGACCCCCATTTTCCGAAAACAGTGTTAAAGCGATAGAGGCTACGGTATTTAATAGATTTGTTTCATATTTGGTATGAAACGTTTAACACGATACAGAGGCGGGCTACAGTTTTTAACATATATTTGTTCAAATTGGCGTCATGAGAGGACGAACCCTATCGATATATTCGGCATTGTGCGAGCTCATGTTCCGGGATTGACCCACTCACACACACACACACACACACACACACCTTGTTAACGCAACAGAGACTTCAGTTCTTGACGGATTTATTTTTCAAATTCGGTTTCAAGCAAAAGTTGGGGTCATGAGAGGATGAACCCTATCGATATGCAGTGGTCTGCGACTAAAATGAACCTGTTAATTTTCAGCAATCTAAGGTTTTCTGTTACAAAGATAAATCGACCAGAACGACCAATAATTGGCATGTGAGGAATAACAAAATCATTGGGGATTGGGCCAGGATTATGGATTTCTGTATTTCCATAGATAATTCAGAAGTTAAGAAATTTAATTATTTATTTTTTTTGGTGGGGTAAATATTTGTTGTGCTTTGTATGAAAATCAATGATATAACCATATATAATATATTGAAATATTAAATGGTATTTTATTTTTGTATTTTTATGTAATTGTGTTTTATATGGTTTATTAAAGTTACAATTTGATATTTTTAAGTTATATTTTTAAAATGTATTAAAATAAAGCCCTAAAATAGATGGTATCTATAAACAGTCCTACCTTGTTAAAGAATAATCCTATTAATCCTATAATTCACTATTGCCAGTTGAGAAATTGGCAAAAATATCATTTTCAACTTCAAATTCAATTGAAGATAGCTATTCCATGGTGGGGAATACGAAAACAAGCGAGGTAATTGTGTTATTATTTCCGGTGTGAAGATTTTTAAATGTGAGAAAGATAACCTATGATCGTATAATGGTGAGTTGACAACCTGTTGAGCAAAAGACATAGAAATAATTATGTTTTGACTTTCTTAGAAAATATGAAATTGTAACTTTAAAGTTATATTTTTATTTTGTCTCTTGACGAAGTTATCCAACCAATAATAGTACACGTATAATGTTACACGTGTTTAAGAATGTTTACTCGCAACATTTAATCAACTTTTACTTAAAGACATTATCATACTTTTTAGTACTCATGTGCTATAACCGTATATTTATGTTGTACTTTCGTTAAATTATTCACATGATCTGTACTTTTTCCTCTTTGGAGAAAACTGAGAAATTCAATTTTTAAATAACGATTTTCTCCCGAAATGATATGATTTTAATTGCCAAACTATTGTCATCTTTACATGTCTGTTATTTTCTGCAAATAAATGTGTGCCTTATTATGTTATATCTCTCGATTTGTTATGATTTTAATTGCCAAACTATCTGTGATCTTTAACAGTCTGATATGGTTTGCATAAAAATCCGACTCCGCCGGAGAGAGAAGAGGGGATAGAGAGGTTTCGAAGTTGGGGGCGATTATTTCACCGAACCAAACTATATCTAGAAACAAACTATATATTTCTGGACATAGGACTGAGAGGACGACACCACATACATCTCTACCAGGGTCCCAGGGCCACATGGGTCGGTCCTAAAAAGGGAGGCACAAGCTGTTTGTTGAACATTAAAAAAACAACAAATTCTACCCGCAAAACAGGAACATAACCTCCACAAAACTAGGCAATACCCATTTTAAACCTTTAGTCGTGTTTCTGGCTGCAACCTATCACAGCACAACCGCAAAATACTGTATATGATAAGTCATCCCTAGTGCTGTTTATCGAGTTCGCTCCCTCATAACCTCAATGCCTCAAAAAAAAACAAAAAAAAAAAAACGTTAAAAACTGTTGCCTTTTTCTCTTTCACAGGGTTTTCGGCAAAAGGAGCGTAACTCTGGCACGGAAGGTCGCGGAATGCTGAATATCGATAGGGTTCATCTTCCCATTATCACAACGCTTCACACCTTATTTGAAAAGAATCGGTTGAAATTTGTAGCCTCTGTCGTGTTCTCGTGGTTTTCCCCTAAAGGGGAAAGGGCTACCCCTAATAATATTTAGAATTTGGCGACCCTTCATTCCGGAATTACCCCCACATTGGCAGACAAGCCGGTTAACGTGATAAAGACATTGGTAGGACGAACCCTACCTATAATCACCCTTTAACGACCTTCCGTTCTGGAGTTACCCTACTTTGCAGAATGTCTTAAGAACGCCAAAGAGGCTTGTTCTTTAACGGATCCGGTTGTACGTGACAAGGAGTAAGGTCGCCTGTCCAACCTCGTGGGTTTTCTCCGGGTCCTCCGGTTTCCTCCCACTGCTAAAGACCCCTATGCGCAAGCGAATTATTGAAATAAAATTAAACCATATGTTAGTCCCGAAATGACCTAGTTTGTGTCGAGTGGACGTTAAACCCCATTTCTCTCTCTCTCTCTCTCTCTCTCTCTATCTCTCTCTCACTTTAACGGATTATTTTCCAATTTGGTATGAGGCATTATGTTGGCCTTGACAGGACCATCTGTACGGGTTCACACACACACACCCACACACACGCACTCTCACTTAACCAAAGACCGTGTGGACGTAACTGATAGAGGCTACAGTTTTTAGTGGATTATTTTCAAATTTGGTGTGCAGCATTGTGGTAGTGAGATGATGAATCAGCGTTATAGAGCTGTGTCTCCTTTTCCGAAAACCTTGTGAAATTGAGAGGGGGCGAACCCTATTCCACAACTTTATCGATTCTGAGCGTTCCATAACTTTATGTTCTGGAGTTACAACTAGCCCCACACCACCCCATCCCCTTCACACATAAAAAACACCCACCCCAACAATGTTCTACACCACCTATTCCAGAGATTTATGATTTTTTCACAAAAGTTTACCTTTCGGATATTTAGTTGCTATATGGGCGCGTATTGCTAAGCATTGCGTGGCTATCTTTAATGCTGCAATAAGTGTGTGACTCTGTCTCACATGGTCTTGCAGCTACTGGAAGACAACCATACAGAGCGTGGAAATGCGTCCACACAGCAGCTTTGTTGCAACAACAGCTTATGTGAACGGGGAGTGTGCATATTGACCAAATTTGATAAGGATTTCCTTCAAGAAAGCTAATGTATATTATGTTCATACGCTTTATGTAAAGCCGAATACCGATATAGCGTGTATCACATTAACAAGGTTTTCGGCAAAACGGAGGTAACAAATGAAGTGAAGGTCGGGGCCGCTGAACATAGTTCATCATGTCATGACCCCATTGCTTCACGCAAAATTTAAATACAGTATGATAAGGATTTGGGCAAAGGGGAGGTAACTCCAGACCTGCAGGTCGCACATTGCTTAATATCAATGGTACCCCCTATGACCGACAATAGAAGAGGCAATCCGGAACACAGAATTTAAAATCGAGTCGCGGTTTGGCAGGTAGGTACGTATTTTAATTTTTCTCCCATTTACATCCATGTTTTGATTTAAAATGTATTACTCATTTGTTCCTATTATACTAGACATGGCAACACCCCTGGGAGTCGAACATCCTCCAATATATTTCTTTAATAATTGCAACCTGTGGAATATTTATACACCAAATATTAACAAAAATGCAGACTGGACACCCAAATCTATAGGCGCTGCCCTAGGGCTATAAGGAATGTGTATGCCAAGTTCTAAGATGATCGATCCAGAACTGCGACCCGTTGGAGAGACAAAAAAAGGGGAGCATGCACTAAAATCAATAGATGCTGTCCTTAATAGAGGCAATACGTGTGCCTCTAACTTAAAAAGTTGGCGTGGCACTGTCCATGGATGTTGGGCATGGACCAGTTATTGAACTCCTGTTATTGAACTCATTGATTATGCAGAATTTAAACCAAATCAGTTACTAATAGCGACCTGTAGAGTATTTATAGACAAAATATTAACTATAGTTATATTAACTTATGTTATAAGGAAGAACTATGCCAAGTTCCAAAATGATTCAGGCAGAATTGCGGCCTGTAGGCGATACATAATAAAAAGTAATTCTCGAAACGACTGTATCAATTCGTAACAGCATGCGCAGAGTACATGACATTGTGTTCTGTTTGGCCTATCCTTACGACGACAAAGGGGAAGATAATTTATATGTAACAATGCTTTACCATGCTAAGTGTAGCAATAACTAATGAGCTGATAATGCTCGTAATTATTATTTCAGGGATGTGTATTAATATGTCCCCTCTTTAACGGAACACAATTTGTGTCAGAAATGAAAATGAAATGAAATGGGGTTTAACGTCCTACTGTTCTGCTCCGAACTGGGCTAATGAAGACGGGCATACGCCATACAGTGTGCTATGAGGGAAATTTTTCCCGGACAGCGGCACCACGGCCTACTATTATATCGAATTCCAACTATCAGGACCTCGGTGTTTCGTCCCATCCGAACGACTAGGCAGCTGTGCTTGTCAGGCCCTCCGTCCTGCATCACTGACAAGGGGAACCATGCCGGAAAATCTAGACGAACTTTCTCGGCCAATGCAGAGATCGAACACCCGACCTCCAGGCTAGCGTGATCCCCTAATTTGTGTCCGATAACAAGGACAGATGTGACGTGGGTAGTCGCTTTAAACTGAATGGCAGATCATAAAATATTTATAATAAAACAATCTAAAACTCACATTAAAACAATCAAAGCTTAGTTTTGAATAAGCATCGTTATATCTATGTTTTTATTCTCAAACAAAATAATATATCTCTAATATATTTCTCTCTACATAATCTGAATACTGTTAAACAGTGTAACTTGATATTACAAAATGACTAGGGCGTGTATCAAATAAATATTAAACACAAATATAAAATTCTTTTAGAATTATTAACCAACAATATTTTGCATTTCTATTGAAACAATAGAAGGCAACAGGGACCTCACATTAGCTGCTCGTTGTACCGAATCAACGATATTGATTATCTGGGATTATACTGGAATGCACAATTATACCTTGTTCGATCTATTTGTGTTTACATATTTAAACAAATCAATAAAGAAATAAATAAATAGCGTACATTTCTGTGATTTATATAATAATTTGAAATAACTTTCTCATTGAAAATGATTAAAATGTCCGGGTATTAGGAAGCAGACCTTTCGGCAAAAGCTGGCTCTCGTTTTAAAAATAATAATATAAGCAAACATTAATCGTCCTCCTCATTTATAGGTTTACCAATTTTCTCACCACCATGCCACTTCAATCTCTGCATTTCATCATAATCAAAATAGGACAAAGGGTCATCTTCTATAAAATCATCATATTCTAATTCTAAGCCATCAAGTGCTATTTCAGAAGGTGTTTGAACACTATGAGAAGGAGATGTCATTGACGATTGTTTACTGCTAGTTTTACTAGGTTTAGAAGATGATGGACTAACGAGTAAAGCCTGTTCTTCACGATAGGTTTTTGGACTTTGTCCATCAGGTTTAGGTAAAAGACGATCTCTTTCACACGCCATCAAGCTACCACCATTTGCCGGTTTGTTTATAGTATCCAAGGAGAAACTTTCTGATAGGGATGTAGGACGTGGAACTTTAGGCACAGTTTGTATGAAGGAAGTTTCTTTTTTTAACGGTTTCTCAATGACTTCCCCATTTTGTATAGTAGCTAGCGATATGTCACTGTTTTTGGGAACATTGTCCGTGTTTCTTTTGGCAATAAACCTATTTAAGGCCAAATCTACAGTAGGTGTTTTTTGATCGGTATTAGTAGGTGTTATCTTATCGTTAATATTATCGGATGGTTCATAGCGTTTTTTAGTTAACAATTCTTGTTTTGTAGAAACAGGAGAGTCTGGTTGGCTGTTTATTGTCACATGTCTTAATTTAGGGGACGGATGTACTTTTGGTGACCGAGGGGCACATTTGCGTAAACTCGGACTTCCTTGGAAAAACTTTCTGTCTGTAGAATGAACTTCCGGCGTGTCACTTGCCCCTATTGGACTAACCAAAGGTGTGTAGCCTTTATTGGAGGGTTTTTGAATAATGTCGCTATCTGCTTTAGAACGAAAACGTTTCAGTCCATTACTACACACACTTGTCACAGATGATTTCCGAGAAACGCCATTAGTTGGTGTTAACTGTTTTCGCTTGGTTTCATCTGCTAATCTAACTTGAATTTCGTGATCTTCAATGGCGTCATTACTATCATGACAGCTATGGTCATGTAAACTGCGCACAGGACTGTCTGTTCCAGCCATGGCATACTTATGGCGACGTTTTTGAAATGTTTTATGGAAGGCTACAAAAACCACGGCTATTATCACTATTAATATGCACAAAGCTATACCAACGGTAGTTGCGGAGCTATCCAAAATTGATACCATTTCCCGCCTTATAATTGAAGAGCTGCTTGGAGAAACAACTAAAAAGAAAAAAAGATACATTTTAAATTAAAAGTTATCTTACTACACTTCTAGATAGACATGAATAATATATAATATATACTGTATATTGGATATTAGGATTCCGTATTTTCACGAAAGATGACAACACCAATATTGATTGAAATGGGTCAATATTGAATTGTAATTCGTGTTTTTTATTTTGAATATTTTGGAAAATACTGAGTGAGAGGTTTAGCTCCCTTAAAGAAAACTTATAAATTAGAAATCTATATAATATGTATAAATACCTTCACTGTCAAATGTTGCCATAAATCCATGAAAATAAACAGGTAATGTTACATTTAACATATGTAGTGTTTCGTTGGTGCTGGTGAATAGTTCTACTAATAATGTATTTCCAGATGAATAAATCTCTCTTTTAAAGTCGCCTTCACTTGATCTATATAACAAATCTGAATTGTCATTATCACCATTTCTTATAGTCACAACCTGTTTATCAACTAATAGATCTATGTACTTGAACACAAAACGAATTCGATGTGATGAAGAAGTACGGATTAGCCACACAGCCTTTCCGGGACATCTGCCACTTGCAGTTATCCCCCCTGACTCAGCTTTTACTTGACAACCACAAGTACACATTGAATCAAATGACATCACCTTTAAAGGTGTATCTGGAATCTTATCTGAAAAAAAGATTTTAAAACTAGTCTCATCATTTAATTATAAATCACCGGAGATAAATTAAAAGCAGTACACGTTTTTGAATTAAAATTAAAACAGTATACAGATAATAATTCTTAATGGTAAATAAGTGAGAATTCCCGAAGATGACGAATTAGTCTATGCCACGTATATAACATCATCATGTGATGTGATTGTAAATTCCAAATGGGCTGTAAAGGCTAATATACCGTGCAGACGCTTATTTTTAAACCAGTTCAAAATCGCCGGGGTTTTTAAGACAGCATCGTGTACGAACAGCCAAATCAGTTTAACTATTCTGACCTCTTCGGTCGGAGGTTCGAGTTAACAACGCATGGGTCAATCTGTTTCACAGAGATATTTTAATATCTCTGTTACAGATGACTGTTTCGACACGTGACGTCACATCACGCGGCGTCCATCATTGGCTCAATAGCGCGTGCTAAATGGTGAATTTTACTTATTTTAATACCCATTTACACTAAATAGGAAATGATTTTTACCTACAAACAATTCAAACGACTTTATTTATTTTTCTAATAAATGAAAAAAATGTTTCAGAATTTAATTAAGTCGCATCGATGTCATCCTTATCAGTGATTGTAGCGGCCAAGCGAATATTCACTGCGGATCAGTGTGCGCATGGGTAGCTTCATATTCTTTTTTCGGTTCTCGCACGCTTTCGATAACATTGGCACTGCCTGACCCCGATACTGCATACTGCGCATGCTCAAATCAAGCTGGAACCGAGGTTTTTAAGCCAACCCGTTCAGACCGCCAAGATGAACCAGTTTAAAATAAAAAGCCTTCTCGAAGATATGTCGGGAGCTGGGGTTTTTAAACTGGTTTATTTGGCCCACATTTGCGGTCTGAACGGGCTATAAGACTAACCTGTACACATATTGTAACATGACTGCCACTGGAATGCTTCACCACTACAAAACCGTCCACCATTAGCTGGTGCTGGTGTGTTGCATAATCTATATCTACTTCTTTTACCAGCACCACACGATGGTGAACATTTTCCCCATTCAGACCAACTACTCCATTTACCATCTATAGGTAAAACTAGAAATATATAAATAAAGTGCATTATGAAAATTATAACAAAAGGTGTGATGTTTTAATAGTGAGTTTTTTTTAATAATTTCAGTCTATTTGAAGATATGGAACAGCAAAAGAAAACCTCATAAAACATAATTATTGGTCTTATTTCCTTGACCGTGTATTTGCTTGACAAATATATAATGAAATAATATCAGAACAGATTTGCAGTCTCTGGTCGTCATCTGGGGAAGTTACAATACTGTAAATGTTGAATCTCTAAAGGAAATGTCATTTAATGATTCAAATACAATTGAAACATTAGTCTCGGAATGACCTAGTGTGTGTCGTGTGAGGGTTATTGTAAATGTTGAATCTCTAAGTGAAATTTCATTTAATAATTCAAATATATGTACAATTGAAACATATGTTTATTTCGAAATGACCTATATGTATGGGGGTTAGCACCCCCTCTCTCGCTCTCTCTCTCTCTCTCTCCTCTCCCTCTCTCTCTCTCTCTCGTCAAATGTTCTTTAAATTTTTCACCATCCACTCAACAGCTTAAAAAAAATATTTTACTGATACTACGAACACCCATGCAAAATATGATAAGTTTAATAATCGTTTTAGAAAGCCAGTAAAAATATTATTTTTTACTAAGAATACATCAAGTCAATCAAATGCAATAATAAGACTATTACATGTGTAAAATGATCAAATATCACATAGCTTTAAAACAAAACAAAGCAACACAAACCACATAAAACATAAAAAACAAAATCAGATCTAGCAACTTAAAAATGAGAACCCAAGATGCAGTTTCTACAATATACTTACATACAGACATGTTTTCTTATAAAGATCAACTTACCAAATCAATAATTGTCAATAACGAGCCATTTTAGATGTTAAAGAAAACAAAAATATAATTTTATATTATTACATGTCGTAAAGTATATGACTTTGTTTTATCAATGAGCTGAAGTATATAAGAAATAATAATAATACTGGTAATTGTGGTGATATAGATCCCATAACGTACGCCAATTTACTGATGTAATGGTTCATAACCTTGTTTGCTTATAATTATAACCGCACCCACCCTATCCCAATTCCCACACCACCATTATGTTAGATAATTAATATATAACGATAAAGGATGAGTAAAACACATACCTGAGTTAGGATGCGCTGATAGACAAACTTGTTTCTGTTCCTGTACACTACCAATTTTAGAAACACTGACATACATAAAACAATATCCCGCTGATGTTGTATTAAATAAATTACAACTCAGTCTTAACATAGTCATATCTGGACTAATCCGTCTTTCAAACACGTATTTCCGCTGTAATGGCGATGCTAGAGAGCCTTTAACTTCCTTTTTTAACATAAATATTCGTATCTTATCTTTGGAGGGACATGATGGACGCGTATAAAGAATATTTAATAAATTTGGACAAGGAAAAACAGAGTCTGTTCTAATATTTATATTATAATGATCGCTCCATACTGCTGCCATAATGTTACTTCTGGTTATCTCAGTACCAAGCTTATACGTAGATTTCAACACAGCTTGGTACGAACCGTCAACGTCAAAGAAATTACAAGGAAATTCATGTTCCACTTGACTGGTAAAATCTATCATGGTAGTGTTAGTTATCAGGTTTGATGATCCGAGGGGTAATTGATCAGTAATATCACCTCTCACGTGATAAATTGCTAAAACCATTTTCTCCCGATTCAGTAACGACTTACACGAAACTGATGACGAAATACGCATTTTAACACCGGTAGTCAAGGCAACATATTTGTCTGGTAAAGTTAGATGAATAGATGGCCAAGAAACATCAAATTTTGCTTCTGTTAGAATGGTTCCTCCTTCATGCGTGTATAATCTAGCTACATATCTACCAGCAACCTCTAATATACCGCACATAACAAGTAAACGTCCATCATTGACACCCAAAGGCAGAGCAAGGGTGGTAACTTCTAAAGGTTTCGGATCATTGATACAGAGCAACCGCACAAAGGCATGAGGTAGAGACACGTTGGTTAAGAGTTTGTACTCTATTTCTAGATCCCCAGAAAAAGCTTGATACAGGAGCGGCGCCATCAACTGATACATACCACCTGCACAAACAGCAAAATAGATGTTAAAATTTAAGAGAACCAACATTTAATTTTTTAAAATGAAATATTCTAAAACATAGAATTACATTGAAAGATTTGTTTAAAATATTTCTTGCTTATGTCCGTAAAGATCAGACGGGATAAGGGTTCAGAAAAATTTAAACGGAATATTCTCTAAACATTCATTAAAATATTTGCAAGGTCTCCGGAGCAGATCTTTTAATTAGATATTTTTGTATTTTCGTCTTTCAAACTCAAACCTAAACGTGGCATTGGTGAAGCATAAGGAACAACCTTATTTTCAACCTTAAATTCGAAGGGTTGTCTTTCTTCTTAGTGAATGCCTTAAAACGTGCTCTGATGGATTTTTTGACAATGATTATTGAGCAACAATGGGCATCTTTGTCAATATTGGGTGTAATAAGGGACTTAACTCGCACCCGTTTATGTTCTTATATTTCAGGAATCGGATGAAGAAATACTTTAATACTATTTGGATCTGCATCAAAGGGGTTTCAGGTGGAGGACTTTCTAGGGCAGCGCACGCGGTACCGTTGTACCTATCTAAAAAATATATAACCCCTTCAATTCGCATTTTATTGTTTAGACTTCCTCACATTTTTCTAGTTATTTAATCTTTCACGTATCATGTATTTTTAAGATCAGGGCAACAGATGTGACCATGTCGCCTATACATGATATTTTTGTCTTCAATGTAAACCTAAATATAATTGATCAGAAAGGGCAGCATGACCTATAATATGTTTTGTGCTATTCACATGTGGTATGTATAAAATATGAATGTAATCAATAGACTATATATAATTTAAAGATTTATCTTCATAAAAAATCGAATCTTTCTATAGACATTATTGATTAATTACTATGTTCATTTTCAATTATCACCTACTTACGTTGTACTTTAAATATCGGGGTTAATAAAATTGACAAAATTAGAGAAAATTGCATATTGTTATGCGTTGTGTTTAAAAGACATTTTGAACTTTTTTTCTAATTAACGTGGGTATAAAATGTTTAGGTAGTTAATTCTCGTGATGCAAGACTGCGTATAATTTATTTCGTGAATTAGTAATGTATATGGTTCAACAGTGTACTAAATCGGTTGATCATTTCCACCAGGGTGTACTAATATACGGGTTAAGAAGGGGTGGATAAAATCCGAGCAACATTAATCATCTATAATTACATATTAAGTATATTAGCTATATCAAACCTAGAAACTGAAACACCTAGAATATGTCACTACTTAAACACTTGAGTGCCATTATTTAAACACGTAGTATTATATATTAAGTATATGTCACTACTTAAACACTTGTGTGCCAGTATTTAAACACCGAGTATTTTAAACGTGTCACTGCTTTAACACCTGGTAATATATATTAAGTATATTACGTGTCATTACATAAATACTACTTAAACACCTAGTATTATATACTAAGTATATTATATGTTAACCCTTTTAAGATTTCGGGTCAACTTTTTCTTTGGGTGACCTTATAATCGATTGCCGTTTCTTCGGGGGTCTAAAGAGTGCATGACCCAAATGATGTACTTGATAACTAAAGGTAAATTTGACCTACACGTTATTTTTATAAAATAAAAGTCTGGTTTTATCCAGACACCGTATAATACACACCGGTCTGCATTTCCAGGTAAAGACAAACGGGTTTAAGTTGTTTGAAAACGTATGAGTTAGTTGCTCGGCCCTAAGTTTTAAGGACTTTTAACACAAAATTAAGCAGGTTTATTCTCCAAAATATAATCGAGATTGGCCCTTTAAAGAAGGTAATATGAATTTTGTATATAAGTAAGAAGTAATTATAAACTGGGACAATTAACAAAACAGTTACTCGTTTATGTAGACTCCAGGGATATCAAGCGATACAGAAGAGAGCTTGCTGTTAATGTCCATGGTTTTTGACGAGACCCTATTTACAGTTCTTAATTATAGATACAATCTAAATGTTTTGTCACTTAAACACGTATAATATTAAGTATGTTACCTGTGTTACTACTACAAATTAATCTCTGGACACATACAATACTAATAAATGTCAGCCATCCGGTCACATAATTCATTTTAACTTCTTCTTGAGATACTCTATAAAATAAAATATTATTATCAAATACTTAAAACAGCCCACCATATCATGTTACAAGATAGTGTCACAATTTAAACAGATTAACTCAACTTATTTAGATATGCATATTGTAAAAGCTGTATAACAAGTTATCAGGTTTATTTAAATTTAAATACCCTACTTGAGTGATTGTTTGCAATGAGCGACTATTCAGCACCTTTCAAGTTTGGTGTTCTTTATGAAAAGAGGTTACATTTATATTTGTTAGGTATTTGGAAATATTTGGTGCTTTCAACATGCCAAACAAATCTGCGTGATTGAAATCTAGATATAATTTGTTCTAATATTTAAAATAAATTCAGATTAGAATGGAGATTAATCCAACTTGCTCTTCCGAACGGAAGAATTTTTACAGGCAACTGTATATGGCGCCAGTTTGAAGTGGGAATTAGATAACACACTTTTTCCTTGTGTCAATTGTTAACACATCGTCGTTAGCAAGACGATGATCACTTTACATGATTTCACCCCAATAACATCAAAAACAATTTGTCAACGATACAACAAGTTGTCAAAGTAGATAATTGGTTGGATGCTATTTGGCGGTATTGTTGTAGAGAACCATTACTGGTTGTACTTTAACGAACCTCAAACCGTATATACATGCACGAGTAGTATTTAAATAGTATACAGAGGGATGGGTTTGAATAATGATAGCATAAACCTTTAATTAAGGCTTTCACTCCTACTTTATTACATGAATTAGTATATTTATTGTAATATATCCAAACTGTCGGGGAACTCTTCGGGTACATTTAGAGAATTTTTGGTGAAAGTTTAATATCATTTGAAGAGCTACTTGTCATGTTTTGTAGAAAACAGCTGATTGACAAAAGTCACATAGAATTAGGAAGACCTTACCAATTTTAAAGAGTCTAAAGTTGGTATAAATTATCTTGTGAATATGTTTAAATTGAAATATTCTAGTTATTGTTTCTGAACATTGTGTCATTGATTACATTAAATATTGACTTCATTTCAACTTCGTTGATTATATTACAAAGTTCATCTTACCGTTTAGTAATGGCGTTAATTGTATCCAAGTGAATTCTTTATTTCTTATTTTGTAGATGTTTTTTGGTTTTAAGTTCTGGGTTTTTATGTGATAACATGACATTAAATTTGTCTTAATGTTATCACATAGTACATGTATAGTTTTGTTGTTGTTTATTCGGTTATAGGAATTGTAAAATGTTATTACATTGTCATTGGATAAATTTAAAGATTGGTACAACAATATGTGTGTTAATTTCGTATAAGATAAGACTGAAATATAAATAGTTCAGTGTATGTATAAGGCTTGGGTAAGGTTTTAAATGTATCAGATACAAAGTATACGTTTTTTATGAATTATTCCATCGTCTTACATTTTTTAATATTCGGATTTTGTTCATAATAATATGTATATTTATATCGCGCACAGTTCCATACTAGTATGCATGCTCAAGGCGCTACAAAGACTGGGTCACAGAGTAAAAATACTCTGTGGACTGGGTGCCGTAATAAACCGTAAATAGATGAGATTTTAAGTTAGTTTTGAATGTTTCTAGGCTGGGTGACAGTTTAATGTTCAGCGGTAATGAATTCCACAAAACAGGCACAATATGAACATACGATCTGTATCCAAATGATTTGAGTTTATATTTTGGGATTGTAAGAAGATGTTCCTGTTGAGAACGGAGTGAACGTCCGGGAAAGTATGGTAATATCTGTTCGGATATTTCTAATTTATCTAAATTTACTTTATAAATTTTATGCAAATTTTCAAATAATTGTTTGTAGAAGCAATTTAATATGTTTTGAATCGTAATTTGCAGATATTAAGATTAACGGATTATAAGGATGTACATTTAGGGTCATTAGATTTACCCAAGGTTGATTATTTTCGGTTAGCATTTTCTGTATCCAAAATAATGATTTACACCTGACCTGATATGTCCATGAATATTAATCATGTTTAAACCTTCTGAGCTGCAATCCTTACACAATATGGTCCTTTTATTTTACCCTTTCCCTCCCAGAGGTAGTCATAGAAATGTTTATTTAATTGATCAATTATAGAATCTGGAGTATTTCACTTAATATTGTTATAGTGTTTATATTTATACAAATAAGTAGTTGATCACAGTCACATGTTTAAGGAATATGAACATATACGTGAGACCGTGTTTGTCAATGCCTAAATGCATGGAAGCGTATTTGAATCTGAATATGTTTTGTTCTATACTTTGAGAAATACTACTACTGCTGCTAATTGTTGATAAATTCAGTTATTGGATGTCGAGGTTCTTATGCGTATATCGGTTCTTTGGGTTTGTTTTTAATAATTACGAATGATGAGTTCGCAACAACAGGTGGTATTGGTTTAAAAATTGAAGTTCAAACCCAATGGTAAACCTATCATAAAAAAGTCAGCCCATAGACAAATTTAGCCTCGTTCACTACACCTGTAATTTGTTCATTTTGGGAAACTATATAAAGCAACAAAACCTAGAATGCGTATGGTAGCGTGAGTCAATGAAATACATAATTGGCTTCATTTTTCTCCATTCAAAACCAATGTGCTTTGGCTTTTAGCTGTAAGTCAATTTATTGTTGATCATTCTAAATTCGTTAACATTTATATTAATTGCAAAGTACGTTTTCTTTGTTGTAATGATAAAAGAAGCCTATAGTTGGAATATTGATTTAATATTGAGTAGATGGTACGAGTATTCTAGATGATTATATAGCATGGTGATGGCGGTAACCAGGACAAACAAAGCTATAATATAATCACATAGAAAAGCTACCACATAGTAACACTCAGTTATATGATTGTCTTTTATTTCCTAGGGCCAAGAATATGGTCTAACGCTGGAAACGGGTTCATTTCTTCAAAGAAAAGCGTAATTTTATTGAAACCACATTACACCCTGGTGAATAAATCCAATGAGATGTACAACTACAATATGTTGCTCCACACAATCTATGTACATGTCAGTCTCCATTAGGATTTAAAACTGCACCTATGCGCCATAAAAAAAATCTACCTATTCAGCATCAGAAAATCAGATGGGCCCACCATATCAATAAGCGAAATTCGACATAACAACAAAGTAAAATTCGCCAGCATGATCTCAAAGTTGGTATTTCCAAAATGAAGTACAAAAAGGCAGACAGTGATCATCATCATTTACATGTAATATAAGATGTTGACTTTCTACTTATATTTACTGGACAATGTAGCTACGGTGCGCAGGAGTGTCCTCGAGAGCATGGAGTAAATTCACCCAATACTTCAATACTTGACAATATGAACTTTTGGTTTGATTGAATGTGTAAGAGACTCCGGCAAATCGGACCATTTGGCTATCTGGAATAAGCTCGTGTGGGCTGGATATGGAGACTACTTAAATCATCTTGATCATAATACAAGTATCTAATGCTAATGTCAGAGTAGGATATTATAACCTCATTCGCAAGAGAAAAAAATACTTGAAACATCTATGCATATATATATATTTGCAATTATGGTTTTAATTTCTTTAAAAAAATATATCATATGCACGAAACTTTAGTCCGTTTGTGAAGAGATCAGTTTTTGCGTCATTGGAGCAGGGATCCTTTCATTAACATTACAAAACTAAGAATTGAAATGAAATGGGGTTTTACGTCCTACTGTTCTGCTCAGACTGGGCTAATGAAAACGGGCATACGCCATACAGTGTGCTATGAGGAAAATTTTGCCCGGACAGCGGCGCTACGGCCTACTCTTATATCGAATTCCAACTGTCAAGGGATCTTTTACGTGCACGTCAATGTGTACACGAGACCTGGGTTTTTCGTACCATCCGAACAACTACACAGCTGTACCTGTCAAGCATTCCGTCTTGCACCACTGACAAGGTGAAACCACGTCGGAAAATCCAGATGAACTTTCTCGGCCAACGCCGGGAGCGAACCCGCGACCTCGAGGCTAGCACAAAACTAAGAACACGACACAATAATAAAGCTTTTAAATGATATTTTAAAATAATTGTTATATATTAGCTAGTTTGCTATATTTTAATACTATGAAATTAAAATTACATGACATGATACAGTATGATCTTTACTAAAATCTCATAAAAGTATCCTTAAAGAACTTTTCTCATACCAATGGCTGTTATTAAACGCACGCTTCGCGTAAAATCGAGACCCTGACCAGACATCAAAGCAACAGTGATTAGATTAAAGGATTGTTCCTGGCAACGAGAACACAGTCTTTCATCCTCTTATCATCTATAACCAGATAACTTAGGCTAAAAAAAGATCGTACACGTAAATCAGATGGAATTCTCTCGTACACATAAACACAGACATGTCAGTGTCGGATTTTAATTAAAGAAATGCATCATGTCGTCCAATCTGTACTACTTCCAATATGAAACAGAAACAATTTCACTGGCTAACTCTGTGAGTAGTTTCAACTGCACGTATAATGTTGATTTTTTTTTTATCTCATTAAAGATGTGTTATGTAACGATAGTTAACAAAGTCTCGATTATCCATTTTTTAATGAAATCATTAACCGCCAATCGTTGAAAATCTAGAGCATCCGATGGCATCGAGAGTTCTTGTGATGTTAATAAATACCTAATTAATAATTCATATACCATTTAAGGCCTAAAGAAAGGTCTGCACTAGGCAGATTTAGATTTTGCATAATGCATCTTTAAACTCTGTATTTCTTTTTGCTAGCGCTATGACCTCATTTCCACATTCGTTTTGTAAAATTGTACAAAGATTGTACACTAATGTAGAATTTTATTATGTAAGAGCCTACTTCCCTTTGCTGTACCTTATTTTTGTAGCGTAGCAAAGCTGTTTTTATGAAACATAGTTGTCAAATAATGTCCTTTGTCTGGCTAGAATCCACAGGCCGCTATATTTTTTTTAAAAGAACACTGTTGGAAATCGGAACAATTAGTCTGTTATA